CCTGTTTAGTTGCTTCTCCCAGATATCTGTCACAGCAAGAAAAGCTAACACCACTCACTGGCATTAAAGGGAATACTTAAATAAGAGACCAGTACTCCAGAACTAGTTGAACTCCTGAATATTATTATCTTTTTTGTTTCTTTTTGTCAGTCATGGGGCTTGAACTCTGGGCCTGGGCACTGTCCCTCAGCTCTTCAGCTCAAGGCGAGCGCTCTACCACTTGAGCCACAGCACCACTTCCAGTTTTCTGGTGGTTTATTGGAGATAAGAGTTTCATTGGCTTTCCTGCCCAAGCTGGCTTTGAACCATGATCCTCAGATCTCAGCCTCCTGAGTAGCTAGGATTACAGGTGTGAGACATTGGCACCTAGCTCACAAAACACAAAAACAACCCCCCCCACACAATGTTTTATAGAAGAGATTTCCATGAGCAAAATACCAGGGGACTGAGGCTTCCCACTTTCTCCTGCTCCTCTTCCAAGCCTGTATTTCTGCAGGAGATTGTGTAAGGTTTGTGCAAGAAGCAGGAAAATGTTTGCTCCAAGGACAGAGGCAAGAAGCCTGCCCAGTGCAATACATATCATGCCAAGGACCCTCTCCTCCCCGGCTGAGCAACTCTGTCTCCAGTCCTCCCAGAACCCTCGGGCAGCAGAGAGGAGGATGTGTTTGTGGAAGGAAGAGAGGGAAACATCTAAAAAGCCTAGGTTTGAGAAGTATCCTCTCCCAGCATTGTTCTGGGCTACTTTTTAGGCCCTGTTAGCTTCCATCTGAACTTTTTTTTTTTTTTGTCATTGGTTGTGGGGCTTGAACTTGGGGCCTGGGCACTGTCTCTCAGCTTTTCTGCTCAAAGCTAGTGCTCTACCATTTTGAGCCACAGCTCCATTTCTGGTTTTCTGGTGGTTTCTTGAAGATGAGTTTCATTGATTTTCATGTCTCGGCTGGCTTTGATTCTCGATCCTCAGATTTCAGCCTCCCGAGTAACTAGGATGACAGGCCAGGTGTGAGTCACCAGCGCCCAGCTATCTGAACTTTTGGTTAAAAGGAATTTCAGAAGTTGCAGAACAGGGAGGAAATCCAAGTTCAAGGAGCCACTATTCAACATTCTCTGTAAGTCTAGTCTCTACAGTCTTGGTTGATTCTGGCTCTTTCTTCCTGTTTTTAGCATTCCACCATCAGACTGCTGGATTGTCAGGTAAGACATGATCTTACTTTACTCAGCATCTTCTGTCCAATAGGCCCCATTCAAGGTCTGGAAATCCATGCAGTGAATACCTTCTCTTCTCAGCAGATCATTTCGGGCAAAGGTATCTGCCACCTCTACAGGCTGAGCCTGAGGAAATAGTGTACACACACACCCACACCCACACAACCTCAAGTCTCAAGGGCCCTCCTCACGGAGCACCCCAGAGCTTTGTCATTTTTGTGCTACCTCTGGAATGTCAACATGTTGATAGCACAAGCCCTCACCCAGGACATCTGGAATGTGACCCTACAAGTCAAGGCAAGGAACAAAGATCTTCAGTCTCAAATCTTTGCCAACCCCCAGCCCTGTCAGGGATCCCCTCACCCCGACACATTTCTGGAGCTGGATGTGACAAGGTGGTCTGGTGAGGCAGTCTTGGCCTTCACAGAGTTTGGTTCTTCTTGTGTGTCAGAAGATCGCCATCATTAACTCTAGGACTCTGAAGTGGGTATGGTGGCTTTTGCCTGTAGTCCCAACTACAGCAAAGACTAAGCCAGGTAGGTTGCTTGCAGTCACGCTGGGCAACATAATGCGTCCTCATCTCAAAAATAAGACCTACCTCTCTGGTACATCACTTTTATCATAACAACAACAAAGACAAATAAACGGGCTGGGAAGGCAGCTCTGTGGTAGAGTGCTTGCCTTGCATGCATGAAGGCCCTGGTTTCAATCCCTCAGCACCACATAAGCAGAAAAAGCCAGAAGTGGTGCTGTGGCTCAAGTGGTAGAGCGCTAGCCTTGAGCTGAAGAGCTGAGGGACAGCGCCCAAACCCAGAGTTCAGGCCCAACGACCAACAACAAAAAAAGACAAATTTAAGGATTCTGTCATGGAACAGAGTATTTCAATGCTTCTGGATGTTTTGTGGTTGCTTAGCTTTGGAGCCTTTTTCTTTTGAGAGAGGCATCATGGAAACTCAGGTCTTATACATCTATTTACCCTCATGTGGGCCTCCAAAACTATTTATTTATTGTCAGTCATGGGGCCTGAACTCTGGGCCTGGGCGCTGTCCCTCAGCTCTTCAGCTCAAAGCTAGCGCTCTACCACTTGAACCACAGCGCCACTTCTGGCTTTTTCTGCTTATGTGGTGCTGAGGAATGGAACCCAGGGCCTCATGCATGCAAGGCAAGCGCTCTAACACTGAGCCACCTTCCCAGCCCCAACTTTATTTCAGTCTCTCCCTTTTGCCAAGACATCTTGAATTACAGACCTATCAGTTCTTCAGCTGGGATTACAGGCAGGTACCATGGTGACTACTTAAGATGAGGGGACGAAGCTGGATGCTGGTGGCTCAAGCCTGTAATCCTAGCTACTCAGGAGGCTGAGACCTGAGAACCAAGATTTAAAGGCAGTCCAAGCAGACAAATTCTCTAGACACTCGACAATAGCGAAAAGCCTGGAATAGAAGTATGACCCATGGAGTTGAGCTCCACTCTCAAGTGAAAAGACCAAGCACTGAGTCCAAACCTCAATATGAGCATAAATAAACAGGGTATTTATTTTGAGCCACAGCACCACTTCCAGTTTTCTGGTAGTTAATTGGAAATAAGAGTACAGACTTCCTGCCTGGCTAGCTTCTAACTGTGAGTCTCAGATCTCAGCCTCCTGAGTTTTTAAAGAGAAACCCATACAGCATGCTCAACAAATTATTTGGAGAAATCCTCTCTATGTGGAAAGAAGAGCACTAGATTCAGAAGCAGAAAGCTGCATCCAAATCATCTCTGTGATTTCTTAGTGGCAGGACTCTGAGGCAGTGGCTGAGCTGTGTGTTACTTATAAAATGAACATACCAGCCCGGCACCGGTGGCTCATGCCTATAATCCTAGCTACTCAGGAGGCTGAGATCTGAGGATCGTGGTTCAAAGCCAGCCTGGGCAGGAAAGTCCGTGAGACTCTTATCTCCAATAAACCACTCCGAAAACCAGAAGTGGTACTGTGGCTCAAGTGGTAGAGCGCCCACCTTGAGCTGAAGAGCTGAGGGACAACACCCAGGCCCAGAGATCAAGCCCCATGAAGAATCATGCAAGTCAGAGAATTTACCATGTAAATGTTTACAGGGTGTGTGGGGGTGGGGAGCGGGGCATGGTCATTCCATGGTATTTTATTTGCACAGAGACATTCAATTCATTTTAAATGACTTACCATGCCTCTCCATTAGAGCCCAACTTTAAAGAATTAATCTTTCTAATGATCTACAAAAGAGTTGGATTAAACATAGTAACTGTCATAATGGCTGTTTAGTGAACCATAACTGATCAAAGCTCCTAGAGTAAATGAATTACCTGTTAAATATGTAGATCTTAGTCTGATAGAGAATGGCAAACCATTTCTATGCTGGTGGGAAAGGTAGCTGACCACAAGGTTCTCTTCACTGTTCTGTACATGAGCTAATTTTCGGTGTGTGTATGTCGATGCTAGGGCTTGAACTCAAGGCCCCAGGCTCCCACTTGGCTTTTTCATTTATGTCTCTGAACTTTCCTGCCCTGGGCTAGTTTGAACTGTGATCCTCCTAACTAGGATTATAGTCATGAGCAACCAACCCCTAAGAAAGGCACATTATTAATAGAGTATTTCTCAGAAAAAAACAGAAAACTAAACTGCAAATACAATGTACCCTCAAGTATCACTCATAGGTATTCATGAGTATTTAGTGGGAGGGAGAATTATCAAAATGATAAGGGCTGAAGTTATGGGTAGCGAGCATTTTCTTTTTTCCTTCTCTTCTTCTCCCCCTCTTCCTCCTTTTTTTTGTGGTTACTGGGGGCTTGAACTCAGGGCCTGAGCACTGTCCCTGAGCTTTAGTGCTCGAGGCTAGCACTCTACCACTTTAGCCACAGTGCCACTTCTGGTTTGTGGTTAATTAGAGATAAAGAGTTGCTGGACTTTCCTGCTTGGGCTGGCTTTGAACCACGATCCTCAGATCTCAGCCTCCTGAGTAGCTAGGATTACAGGCATGAGCCACTGGCGCCCGGCTTTAAATTTTTAATTGTCAAGGTGGTGTACATAGGAGTTTTAGTTATATAAGTAATGTAGGTAATGAATACATTTCTTGTCAACCTTGTTACCCCTTCCCTCAATTTCCTCCTACTTTCCTTCCCCCCAACCTCCCCCAAGTTGTAAGATCATTTCCAATATATTGTCTTGTGAATATCACTGTTGCATTGGTTCCCCCTTGTCCTCTATCTCACTGTTCTGTTGTTCCCCTTCCCTTCCCTAACTCAAATAACTGTATATACATTATCAGGGTATCAAAATCAAACAATAACAACAGAAGATATACCATAAGGGGAAAAAAAACATATAAAAGAAACAAAAAAAATCACATAGTACATTAAAAACAACAACAACAAATAAAAATTTCTTATGACCATATCTTGGAGTTCATTTCGCTTAGCAACCTCTTACATGGTCAAATGTACATAGCTATTGAGCTAGTCTGCTTATCTGCTAAGATTATCATAGACGTATACTAATTGCAAATAAGTGCAACCAAGGGACCTTTGTTTCTTTGGGTCTGGCTTACTTCATTTAATCTGATTTTTTCCAAGTCTTTCCATTTCCTTACAAATGGGGCAGTGTCATTCTTTCTGATTTAATACATGCCTCCATTCCCTCCAGCCCCCCAAATCAGAAGGCAGTTGGAGGTGTAGCTCAGGTGTAGAACATACACTTAGAAAGCTCAAGCCCTGGGTTCTTGCCCAACACTGTCCCCCCCAAATGAAAGAAGTGTAGAAATTCACCAAAAAGCAAATTTATTTAATGCAAGGTACTCCGTTTATTAAATTATAAAACTGCTGTAGATCCATACACTTGTGGAAATAAAATACATTTTTCTCAAGTATCAGCTTTGGGATAGAATATTGTTTTAAACAAACAACACCAAAAATCTCCCTATTTTCTGGGTCTGCTAGTGGTCTGCTTTTTTATTAGCACTCGCAGCCAGACTTACCAAGTACAACTCTTCTGGGTACAATCAAAATTTACGGAAAATATCACAAAGACAAATGCTTTGAAGAGGATGCGGGGCAGGGGGGAAACACAGCTATTAAACTGGTATCAAAATTTAGTCAAAATAAAGTTTTAGTCCACTATGGCTTTGCATAGAGCTTCAAAGGAAGAGAATTTAAAGACACTTCGCATCAAAGGCACTTAAGAGAGTTGTCATAAAATACTTCTTTAAACAATCTGAATCCAACAGTTTGTTTTTTAATTTCTCTTTTCACATCTGCCTCACAGTGAAACAGCGCTAGAAGGCAGCCGTGAATGAGGAAGAAGTTATTGCTCCTTAATATACATATTTAAAAATTCACAAAGGATTAATACAGATTTTGGTCCACAGAAGCCAAGTCAGTGACAGTATCAGACTGTGCTGGTGTTCTTAATTCTGAGCTTCCCCGCCGTGTGCACGCGCACGTGCGCACAGACACATGCACATACACACACACACACAGAGCCATGTTGTAACAAACTGCGCTATCCCAGTGGCATCAACAGCGCCTACAGTTAGCCCCGTCCCATCTCCACAGTGCCCTTGAACTGGAGAAGTTCTCCTCGGGAGGCCTCACAGGAAGGAATGTCCATCGGATGCCACACGAATGTCCATGGTACCCCATCTATAATTCGGTGTCTCGGTACCTGGAGGGCGAGTTGTAGTAACCCCGTTTTGTTTGGTCAGCCAGCTGCTGGCGATATTGCTCCTCGGGGTCACTGCCAAAACTTCCCCGGGTGTCCTGGTAAAGCCTGGAGGGTCCTTTCTGTGGCTCAGGGGGTCTGGAACTGACAGGTGAGGGGGTTACACGAGTCCGAGGGCGCTGCCAGTCCTCCAGCACCCCCAGGGGGAGGAGGGGGAAGAACGGCTGGCCACTCGCTCCAGCAGGGTAAGTGTCTGTTTCTTGTTTTTATTTTTTGTGCTGGTCTTGGGGCTTGAACTCAGGGCCTGGGTGTTGTTAAACCTTAACTTTTTTATATTTTAGCTCAAGGTTAGCACCCTAACCTAACTCTAACCCTAACTCTAACAATGGAGCCACAGCTCCACTTCGAGCTTTTTATTTTTTATTTTTGGCCAGGGTGGCTTTGAACCATGATCTTCCCATCTCCACCTCCTGAATAGCTAGGATTATAGGTGTGAGCCACGAACGCCAGCTTCAGAGACCACTTTCAGATCCCTGAGCGTTCTCTGCCATCAACCAGGTTCAGGTGGTAGTGGGGACAGGACAGCAAACGGGCCAAGGTCACTCAAGGTCACTCACTTGGGTAGTGAGTGAGGAAGCAAGCCACAAGCTCCCTTAACCTGAGAGTTCCCTACTGGCTGGAGGATCCCCAGCTTTGTGCTACCCTCACCCAGTGAGGTGCTCTGCCAGCGTTAGTGATTATGCCAAGGCCTCCTTGTTGCCACATCAACCTGGTCAACGGCTGCTGTTCCCTGGGTAGCAAAAATGCTTCTAGTTTTCTCTTTTCTGTTTGGTACTGGGGATCAAAGCCAGGACATTGCGCTTGCTAGGCAAGGGCTTTGCCACCCTACATCTCTGCCCATGCCTCCAGTTTTCTGTTGAAAACCTAGTAGTGGTCAGAATGGCTTCAAGAATATGTGATTAAAAGGCTAGGTGTCAAAAGAAAAAAGAAAAAAAACAGAAATGGAAAAGGGCTGGGAAGGAGGCTCAGTGGTAGAGTGCTTGCCTCATGTGCATGAGGCCCTGGGTTTGATTCCTCAGCACCACATAAGCAGAAAAAGCTGGAAGTGGTGCTGTGGCTCAAGTGGTAGAGTGCTACCCTTGAGCTAAGGGACGGCGCCCAGGCCCAGAGTTCAGGCCCACGACCAACAAAACAAACAAACAAACAAGAGTTTGTGCTTTATTTCTTTTCTAATCCCAGAGGCGGGAAACCATGCAACTTAAGACGTCCAGAGGAAGAGCTGGGCTAACTCCTACTCTGTCTTACCTATGCTGGTCAGCTGCTTGTGACCGTACCTTCGAACTCAGCTCAGCACAGTGGCCTGACTATGCTGGTGATACAAAAAAGCAAAGAAAAATGGAAGAACTTGGTTGACAGCCAGAAAACAGTGACCAAACAGGCCTAAGTTCTAGGACTTCTGTTCCTCTGTGGCCCTAATGCAACCTAACACAATTGGGCTCCATCCACCACAAGGCACCTGCCAAGAGGAAAATGATCGTGGATTTTGATTCTGTTATCTGGACAATTTAAAGGTGACACTGGGTAAAGAGAGTAGCACCTGTCACTCAGAAACCCTAAAACAGAAAATTCTTTCTCTTCAAGTCCAAATGGCAGAGAGGGCCCAGCCTTTGGGGGCTTTCCCTGTACACTCTTACCTCATGTAGTTGGGCAGGCCGGCTTCTGGCTTGGGCCCTTTGATCGGAACCGCATAGATATCCGGATGTTTCTGAGCAATTTCCAGCTGTGATAATGAGGAAAGAGCACCAAGAAAGAGAGAATGAGGCCCCGCCCAATTCCTCGCATGGTCTCCAGCTACCCTACTGGGGGGTTCATGCCCCAGTACTGTAAATAAAGTACGGAGAGCAGGCTCCTATTCATCTTGTCAGCTAGGGCTTGTTGAGTGGAAGGAAAATGGATTTGAAATCGGCACACCCAGTACTGTGCACCTGATCATTTCTGTCTTGTCTGGGCAAGAGGACTGTGTACCACTGCACTGAAATCAATCAAATAATTTACATTGATTTTTTTTAATAGTATTTTTTTTTCTTTTCTTTTGGGTATTGGAGATCGAACCCAGGACAAGTGCTTTGCCACGGAGTGACATCCTAGCCCAATCAAGTGGTTTCAATCTCTTCCTGTGGATAAGCTGTGACTGTGTAGTAATTTATAAAGAATTACCCTGGCATTCTGGGCTTCTTGGAGCTCCTGCATTCTCTGCAGCCTGGCCTTGTGGTCCATCTTCTCAAATATTTTGACTTTGCCCAGGACTGATTTGGGAGTGTTTTCTTGCTCGTCATTACTCTCCTCTGCCTCTCCGCCCTCAGGGGAAGGGACGGGAGTGGAAGGCTTCAGGACAGGTCGACCAAAGGCCGGTTTCGCTGCGACTGGGGGAGGGCAACTTTTGGTAGACGTGAGAACTTCATTCCCAGCTGCGAAGTTTGGCTTGTATTCCTGGGATTTGGAGAAGTCATAAGAATCTTCTCTGTTATGGCTTTTAGCCTGTGAAGAACAATGACATGTTTTTCCTTGGGGTTTTTGAGTCTTATTATTTTTTTTTAATCTACATTAGTGATTTAACACACTCCATTTCCTGATCAGTTTCCAAAGATGATCAACAAATACCACTCTGGCAAGGAATCAAATATGGCAGGGGCAAATGGCCCTTAGCTGGGCATCCTGAGCCCTACCTTAAGGTGTTGAGAGGTATTGGACTCGGGGGCTGGGCAGTAGCAATTGCTAGAGATAGAAAAGACCCTGAATAATTTAGTACTGGAGCAGACTTCTAGCCCTGCTTCCCAGTTTATCCCTGATGCATTGTATTAGCTCACTAATTACTCATAAAACTGGCTGATTTTCTTCTCATCTAAATTACTGAATTAGATAGGGAAAAAAAATTGTTTTGGACCAGCACATAAAGAAAGACTTGTAGTCATAGCTTTGATTCTGACGGGGTCGGGGTGAAGAATCATATGATATATGCACCCCCCCCCACTGTGTCTTCATGTTGATTCTGTTTGGGATGACAATTTATTAATTCAATAAATGAAGTTGTCCTCACACAGAGAAGCATTCTAAACAATGGTACTGATTGTTTGCTGATATATCTGAGTTAGATTGTGGGCAGAAAACTTTCGTTTGACAGGAAAAAGAGAAACTGATTTCGAGAATGGTGATTCTAGCATGCATCATTTGTCAATTTTTTACTCTTCCTCAAATAAATGAATGAATCTTTCTCCCCTCCCCCCTCACTATTGTTCTACCATTTGAGGCACAGCTCCACTTCTAGCTTTCTTGTTGGTTAACTGGAGGTGAGAGGTCTAATGGACTTTTCTGTCTTTGGCTGGCTTCAAACCTCAATCCTCAGATCTCAACCTCCTGAGTAGCTAGTGTTACAGGCATGCGTTACCAGCGCCTGGGGATAACTCTTATTATCATCACCAGACTATCTGCTCTCTTAATGTTGTCTTTCTTTTCTAACTTTTCTCTTCCTTATGCAGGAATCTATCCATCAACCCAAAAGGATTGATAGGATCTAATATCGAACACAGGGAGTCAAACCATTACCAACACCATTTCGTGTGCATGCTTCCTCAGGGCTACACCCCTGGGGCCTCTGGAGCTTCTTTTCCTTCCCAGCCACGTACCTTGGGCGGCTCTGGCTTGAATGCCGGAGGTGGGCTATTGTCCCTAAGTTGATCTCTGCTAGCAGCCCTCCACATCTGAGCTCGTGGCTCTGGGCTGGGTTTCCTTATGCTCTACAAAACATAAAGATTCATTCACAACAAGAACATCCAGGCAGAGACAAGTCCGAACCCTGCTTTGCTGGAGTTCTGCAAACCTGGAGAAGTTCTGACATTGATCTGCTGAGTAATAACCAGGGAACCTTTAACTAGACAATGCTTGAGATGTGTTTATAAAACTGGCTGCATCCAAGGCAGGGGGCTCTACCTTTAAAATACAACTTAAAAAAAAATCCTCCTAAAGTTAAAAATAATCACTGCTATTTCTAAACAATAGTTCACTTATATCATAGAGATTCAGAAGTGAAGTTACTCTTCATAACTTGCCTAGTATATGCTAATGTTGTATTACTGGGGTGATGGGTTCCCCACTTCAACTTATTATATTTTGGGGGTTTTGTTTGTACTTCATGGCAAAAAAAAAAATCACTCCCTGGAATGAGCCTAATTGCTAACAAGAAGTCCATACTAATAATTACCCAAACACGTTTGGATCACTGATTCTACAAAGATCTTATGCCAGTGTCCGCTGAGATGAACAACAAATCGTTCTGCTCCTAAATTAATCAGTGCCTATTGATGCAATTTCTAAGACCTGTCAGCTGTCAATCACTAGCTGACGGGTACATAGTCCATGTGATCCGAGGCATAATCAATCACAAAGGCAATTTAAAATATTGAAATACAAGAGAGAAGGAAACTGATGGGGAAACACTCACGAGCAATGGCAAGATTAGAAGGTTAAAGACAGATGGAGAAGAAAGGCCAGGGTTCCTAAGAGTACAGAGAGTGAGAGAGAGGTCTAATCAAAGGTTACAAGCAAATATAGCAACGTCGTGTTTTAAAAGAACATTCTGCTTGTGATTTTCACAGCTGGCCCCAAAAAGCCATTCCTGTCACCTGTCACACCTGAGAGCAGGGGAGGGCTGACTGCTGCCCACTCAGCCTCTTCCAATGCCACCTACTGGGTCCTCTGTTCCATGAACCAAGGAACCACAACCTCACAGGCACTGACTCAGAGCGAAGTACTCCCTAACGGCCACCTGCTCCAACTGCCGCATCCCTTCCACCGCACCCTGAGTTAACGGCGGTGCCGAGGAAGGAAGCGAGACACTGCAGTCTCCTTCTCTGGCCCGTGGCTTCGCAGCGCGTGGGCCTGCCTTGCCTCACCTCCTCATGCTGCACCGGCTCAGAGGAGCGGGTGATGGAAGACACCAGCGGCTCCTCCGCTGGCTCATCCAGCTCATTGTCAGTGTAGGCGCCTCCCTCGCCGTCGGTGTCTTCAAAGTCACTGATGAGACGGCTGTCGCAACTCAGATAGTCCGCGCCCATGGCGGTTAAGTAGGACATGCGATCTTCAGGATCATCATCCATCCCTTCCATCTAGAGGAATTTGTTTCGGAGGGTCAGTGGGGCCTGACATGGCTCCTGGGAGCTTGGGGGGAAGAAGCTCAAGGAAACTCCCTGAGGGCACGGCCTGGTTGTCCAAAGTCTTGACATGTGCCACAAAGCGAAGGCACCTGTATTTTTCTGAAATCACTTGGCTCTGAGCCGATGCTGTGACTACGTCCACTTCTATGCAGGGACTCAAACTGGGGACCCTCCAGCCTATCTGTGAGACCATTGGCACCTGAGCCAGCCTTCCTCCGATTGCTGAGAGTTTCCTGCCCTATGTGGCTCTTCTTTAGCTTTTTCTCTTGGCACCTGTCTTCCTGGTGATAAATGTACACCATCTTATGCTATGTACACCTCTACTTATCCTTAAGACTCTCCTTAAGGCTCTCTGTGGGCAGAGGCTGTATCTTCAAATCTGAATGTCCAGATAGAGGACACCCTCAAACCTTGCAGACTCTAAGCACGTGGTAACACCAGATGCTAGATGCCCTCATCAAAACAGCCAGTGTCCAAAAGAGCAAGAAGTCAGTCACTTTGGTGACAAAGCTGTCACTCTAAAGGCCTGCACACAACCTCAATTCAGCTCCGGTATGCAATACTAATACTGAAGGCTCCTGGAATAAAGAGAGCTACAGGTTGTATAACTCTCTTGCTCTTCCTTCCTTCTTTCCCTCTCTCTCTTTCCATGAGATAGATGCTGGGCCATCCAAACTCATAGAACTAGGTAGCCTTCTCTGCCAACCTCTCGTTCTAACCAAAATAACTCCACATCTACTAGCTTTGGTCTTCTGTATTGATTTTTAACGTATTTGTCCCCCCATGGTCCTCTTCCCTGCCTTTCATCTCCACTCTAAGTGTCCCATGGTCTTAGTAAGCTGTGACACACAGCATGAGATCTTGTAAGCTCTGATTAGCGTACTTGGAATACAGTAACTAGTTACTACGTTAAAAGTAAAAGGGAAGTGAATGTAGAATTGCATTCATCACATTCTGCTTTTCTTTTGAAAAGTCCCCTTCATTTGTTTTTGGTTTTTAACGTGGTCGGAGAACTCACATTGTTTCAGACCTCATGAACACACAGGCTGGCGTGACTTCCAGTGGACATGGTGTTGCTACATTCACTGCCCTCTTGAGGAAAGATTCAAGACACAAACGCTCACCTCACAGCAGCGAATCTAGGCCACATACCTTTCCTTCAGAGACCCAAACTGCTTCTCCCTGCTGATGCTCAATAGTGTCCTTCAAGCTGCCAAACCAGCTGTCATTGGCCGAATTTAAATTGATGGTGGCTAGAGAAATGTCAACAAGAAGACTTGTTAAGAGGGCAGGTATACAGTAGTAGAGCATTTGACTGCAAAAAGGCCTGCACTGATTCACAGAGCAATGTTTATTCAGGAAGCTATGGGCATAAAAACTTATTTCTATCACATCGAATTAAAACTGGAAATACAGGAAGTCTGAACATACATGAACACTGAATTCTTCTAAGTGAATGTAAGTAAAACTATTAACCATCTAGCTGTTGTAGTTTACATTATAGACAGATGTTGTAAGGTTGGCATAATGGGTTTATTTTCAGAATATCTGTGTATAAAATTTTTGTAGTGCTGGGGATTGAACTCAGGGCCTTGCAAGTGCTAGCCAATTACTCTACCACTAAGCCATACCCTCATCTCTCTAAAAAAAAAAAATATATATATATATATATATATATACAGATGCCCCACCACAGATGAATGGATCCAAAAATTGTGGTATCTATACACAATGGAATATTATTCAGCCATTAGAAATGGCATTTGCAGGGAAATGGATGGAGCTAGAAGGAATCATGTTGAGTGAGGTAAGCCAAGAGCAAAAAGACAAATGGTACATGGTCTCCCTGATAAGTGGATACTAAATCCAAAATGTTAGGTGATACGACAAAATTAACAGGACTTAAGAAACAAAGAACTCCCACTCATCTGGTCGAACCACTACTAAATATCCCCATGCTGCTGATCACATGTATGGTGTATAACATGTGAACACCATTATATGTTATAGACAGTGATAGACAATTTGCTCCAGGAAAGTTAGAATGAACTTGTGACTTTAAATGAGCATCATCATTCCACAATACTGTAAAATTTGGGAAATTATGTAATTACTTAATCACAATTTAAAAAAAAAAAGAACCTCGGGGAACGTAGGGAGGGAAGGGATGGTATGGTAGGGGGAAAACAATGGAGGGGGTAACAATGCTCAATAGGAAGTGTACTCATTACCTTGCTCATGTAACTGTAACCCTCTGTATAGTATCTTTACAATAAAAAATTAAAAATAAATAAATAAAATAGATAGATAGATAAAGAGTCTGTTTGCAGGAGCACAGATAATGGAGCTAAAACAAAAAGACAACATTTTAAAAACCATTACATAGATGCATGTAAATTTATAAAAATTAAAGTATTCTTGTCCACATCTAATAAAATACTCAAAGAACAATTTAGTATGATTACTTTTTGCTTTTTACAGCCTTAAGCATTTTAGAATGTGAGCCAATAAATTAAATTCAACCAAGGAAATCAGCTTCATTCTATTCTGATGAAATATGTATCTTACATGATAATGGTTAGTATGGGTCAACCAGGCACTGTTGTAAGTATGTTAGGAGATTAGCTCATCCCAAGTTAGGGAGCACATCTCACCCGTAAGAATCTAAGGCTCAGTGGTGAAATGAACAAGCCAAGGCCTCACACTAAGTAAAGAGGCTGAGTATCAACTCAGACATTTGTCTTCTGAGCAGTGTCCTTGAGAGCTACAATACACAGTTCATCTAGAGACACCAATTTAGAGCCTAGATATAAGCATACCAACAGGTATATCTTTTTTGCTGTTGTGTTAGTGGTCATGGAGCTTGAACTTGAGGCCTGGGCGCTATCCCTGAACTCTTTTTGCTCAAGGCTAGCACTCTACCACTTGAGCTACAATACCACTTCCCGTTTTCTAGTGGTGAAGTGGCTAAGAGTCTCATGGACTTTCCTGACCCGACTGGTGGCTTTGAACCATGATCCTCAGACCTCAGCCTCCTGAGTAGTTAGGATTATAGGCATGAGTCACCATTGCTGGGCTCAATATATTTTTGTCAACCTAATACAGATAAACTAGGTAAGCAAATGAATCCAAAACTAATAAATTGGGCCTAGAAGCGTCAGATTGTAGATAAATTAGGATCGGTGCATTCAGGCATTCTACCATTTGAGTCATGCTCCCAGTAATGATTCAGGGTTTTTTGTTTTTGTTTTTTTTTTTTTAAGTTACACTGTCAGCCTTTCAAAGGGCAGACATAGATATCACTTCTAACAGGACCATTAAGCAAACTTTGTGAGCAACTGTGCTTTCAGTTTTCCTTAAAGTGACATTCAACTTTCTTTCATTAGAGAAGTTCCAACATTGACCTTGGGAGGAAAAATCCCAAGGGAGTTTCTAATTTCTTTGCTCACTAATTATTTACAGTGCGAGAATAAACTGATGCTCTGAACAACCCAAGGAAAATGAACCTTGATAGTATGGATTTTTGGTGTCCTTACCCTGGTACTTAACAAGGATTATTGTCTCATAGCTAAAATATGATGTCATGAACTTAAATATAGAAGTGAGATTAAGCACTCTAGAGGAAAAATAAATAAATGACCTGCACTAGATGTAGAAAGAATGTGAAGCAGCCTTCAAATGCTTTCTGTTGGGAGTTGTCTAAGTATGGTCTATATTTATCATACAGAAAATCTAAAGTTAAAAGATCCATTTAAGAAATACAGAAGCTAGGTGCCGGTGGCTCACACTTACAGCTGTTCAGGAGGTTGAGATCTGAGGATTGTGGCTCAAAAGCAACCCAGGCAGAAAAGTCCCTGAGATTCTCATCTTCTATTAACTACCAGAAAACGGGCAATGGTGCTGTACTCAAAGTGGTAGAGTGCTAGCCTTGAGCAAAAGAGCTCATAGACAGTGCCCAGGCTATGACTTCAAGCCCCTCAACTGACATATTAAAAAGGGAGGAGGAGGAGGAAGAGGTAGAGAGAAGAGGAAGAAAGAAATACAGTGCCAGTGGTTTGCACAGTGCAGGTATGAACCACTGGTGCCCAGATAAGAAGTATGTACTTTAAAGGGATAAATTGAATGCTAGGGTAAATTGCATATCAATAAAGCTATTATCTGTGTGGTTCCCTCAACAACCAGACCTTGACTAAACAGAGGAGCAGCAGCAGCAGCAAGAGGCCCTGCCAGGATCCATCATTTTCCCACTGCTTCCAATGCTCAACAGACTCAGCAAGTGTTTCACACCTGTAATCCTAGCTACTTGAGAGGCTTAGATTTGGAGGACTACAGTTCAAAGCCACCTGGGTAGAAAAGTCCATTACACTTTATCTCTAACAAACCAGCCAAAAGTTTGGCTACAGGCAGAGCTCAAGTGGTAGAGCACCAGCCTAGCAAATGCAAGGCCTTGAGTTCAAACCTGGGTTTCAGATATAGATATAGAGATATCTATATCTATATATCACTTGTTCCTCTGAGCTTTCTCAAACACTAAACAATAACAAAAAAGTGTGTGTGTGTGCACGCACACACATGCGCGTGCGTTTAGGTGATGGTAAAAGACACTACAGGGTCACATAGTTTCAGTATTCTTTCAGGTACCAATTTCACTTTAATAATGCCTAGCAAGAAGATGAAAACAGATTGAGTCTCTCATGACACTTTCCAATACCACAATTTAACATGAAGGAGGCCTCACTATTGTGTTCTTCAAACTAGGAGAGACACATTTGAAGTTCCTGAAAACACAGAAAATTCAAACATTGCTTTTTAAAAAAACAGTAATTTCTGTGGCATGTATATGTAAGTCTATTTTATAGTAAAAACTTTTTTTTTAACTGTTAAGGGTTGGAAGCAAGCTAGGCATGCTGGTTCAGGTTGAGCAGTCAACTTGCGTCGGGTGATTCTCAAAATAAAGTAACTCTTGTGCCATCAAGATCATAAAGGGAGAGATTTTAATATTGTCATAATTACAATCTCTCTGGTAGGGAACAGGGTTTCCTTATTCTGCAAAAACAGGATATTGAGCCGAATGATGATGCATGCAACATTAACTTGACTTCAAATTAGTGTGCTCAAAGCAACTCTAGTAGTCTCTCACTGTCACGGAAGTGCTGTAAATATAAAATCATGAACACCATCCAGTATTCACACTGCCAAAAGTTTCTGATGCTCAAGTTTGAAAAGCAGGATTTCTGGCAGGTACACATTATCAATCTCAACCTGGGCAAGTGGATTGTGAGCGAGTGTGAATCACAGGGCATGGGGAAGCAATTCGAGTCTTAGCCAACCACCAATGGCTCATGCCTGCAATCCTAGCTACTCAGGGGGCTGAGATCTGAGGACTGCAAAGCCAGCCCAGGGAGGCAAGTCTATCAGACTCTTATGTCCAATTAACCAGCAAAAAAAGAGCAAAAAAGCTAAGGGAAAGTACCCAGGCCCTCAGTTCAAGCCCCAGTATTGGTGCATGAATGTGTGCAGGCAGGTGTACATACACACACACACACACACACACACACACACACAACACACACACAATCTGAAAAAAAAAAACATTATAAAAGACTACGTATTGGAAAGCGAACTTGAAGCTCTTAGATCTGTTATCCAGCACCTTATACTGAAGATATATCTAGAGAAAATGAAGTGTTCACCAAGTGTATCCATTCCAAACTGTAGTTTTACTTTTCCTTCAAACTTTCAACCTCATGATAGGTGCTGAGACAAAAAAATAGCTAGTGATGGGCCACTTTCTCCTGTGTGTTGTTTACATTATCACTCAGTTACAAGATGCTGCATTGTCTAAGTTGTGGACACTACCCATCTACTCCCTGTGATATGACTCCACTGGTAAAGGCTGATGACCAACACTGAACACAAGAGCTGCCATTACCCTAAGGATATTATTTTATTTATTTATTTATTTTGTTGTTGGTGGTGGTTGTGGGACTTGAACTCTGGGCCTGGACACTGTCCCTGTGCTCTTCAGCTCAAGGCGAGCGCTCTACCTCTTGAGCCACAGTGCCACTTCCGGTTTTCTAGTGGTTTATTGAAGATAGGAGTCTCACAGACTTTTCTGCCCGGGCTAGCTTTGAACTGTGATCCTCAGATCTCAGCCTCCTGAGTAGCTAGGATTACAGATGTGAGCTACCAGTGCCTGTCCATATGGATATTATACCCATGCTCTAGCCTCATGCTGCCCCCTCAGAATAAAGCACTGATTCCCGCCTCCAATTTATGCAGCTCTCTCCAAGTCTCAACTGTACACTATTCACAGCAACAGTCATTTATTTATATAGATAGTACATATGCTTAATTACTAAGATACCTATTTTACACTACTTTGTAAGCATAAGCAACCTGTATTTACCTAGGGGACTTGAAAATAATATCCTACCTACTGTGGAGGAAATTTTAAACACATATAAGAGCGGAGGACAGTTTTCTGAATTCTCATGTGTAACAATCACCAACAACAACTATTCATTCCTGGCCAATTGTATCTGTACTCCTTCTCCTGTCCTCTCTGTCAGCAAGTTTTAGACATTTTATTAAGTGACCCGTAAGTATTTAGTATGTATCTTGAAAATGGATTCTTTTCTTTTTTTTTGGTGCTGGTATCAATGCTTGACCCCAGAGCCTCATGCTTGCTCAGCTTGTTTGTTCATAGCTGGTGGTTCTCTACCACTGATCCATAACCCTAGCCTGGCTTTTTTGCTGATGAACCAGATATAAAGTCATATGGACTGTGATCCTCCAGGTCTCAGCCTCCTGAGTGACAAGGATTACAGTCGTGAGCCACCAGTGCCAGGCAAGGGATTCATTTTTTAAAACACAGTCACAATGTTCTCATCAGAATAAAATACAGAATAAATCCTTGAATCGCTAACATCCAGAGTATTCAAGTTTCTATTGGGGAGAGGGAGGATATTTTTAATAAGTACAAACAAAAGCAGGAGAAATAAGAAAACAATTCAAATTAGAATGTGAAATCTTGCTATGACTCCTCCAAAAATGGCATTTGCACTGGGAATTTTGTCATTGTGACTGTGTACAGGTGATCATAAAAAGCGCCATCATGGAGTGATAGTTGGCTGTTGGATGAAGCTATAGTTTCTGTGGAGGACTGAAAGGCTGAGATTGAAGTTAGTTCAGCAGCCAGCCCCACCTCTCCCAACACTCATTGCTCTTTCTTGTTCTCCCTCTTAACCACCATTGCATATATTCACTTACAAACATGATAGGAACTTGTTGCCATTATTTTTTAAATGTCCCCCAAACAGAAACTTGAACATTCTACATACTGGATGATTCAAGGATTTATTTTCAATTTCACTGACCTGTAAAAAGATGGGCGCAGGTCTTTTTGAGCTTGTTGGCCTGATCAAATAGCTTCCGTGAACTTTTGTTGGACGTTGGGTTCAACCTCTGTCTCATGGCCTTGACACCTTGTCTGGAGTCTGGGTTGAAAAAAATCACAATCGGGAACCACTGGGTGTAATTCAGCAGGTCCACAGCTTTGGGAGTCACGTCCAGGAGTGCATGCTTGTCCTGTTAGGGACAGGTGAAGTACCACAGTATCAGTTTGCCTCCCTAGGTAAAGGCTGTACCACATCAAACATGTGAATTTCAACCTGAACATATTCTATTCCCTTCCATATTATGCCTACTTCGATATTAACAACCAGAAGAACCCTAACAAAAAGAATTGCAGTGTCCCCCTGTATGCATATATGGTTTTACCTTCCAGTTTCATTCATTCAAAGCTAACAGCAAGCAAAAGAAAAAGGGTGAGTGTAGTACTGTGTGTGTGTGTGTGTGTGTATGTATGTGTGTGTGGGGGGGGGAGGGAGGGAGGGGGGGAGGGAGGGAGGGAGGGAGACAGAGAATTCAGGGTCTTGTGTTCTCACCTGGCTTTTTCAAAGCTCAAGCCTGATGCCCTACCACATGAGCTACAACTCTACTTCTGGCTTTCTGCTGGTTAATTGGAAATAAGTGTTTCATTGACTTTTCTGCCTGGGCTGACTTTGAACACAATCCTTAGATTTTATCATGTAACTTTTAGTACAACATATTTTTATAATTGTTCAATTCTATTAATAGTTATTGCTGCTTGACTATTCCTAATTTACCATGTATACATGTGTGTATATATACACATGTATGGTAAAGTTTAATTTATAAATATATAAATGTATAGGTAGGTCCATACATACTATACATAAGTATATTTAGGGTTTGGTACTGAGTGGTATTCTAGGCATTTATCAAAGGTCCTAGAATTTGCCCCACCCCAAATGAGGGGAAAACTATAATTAACAGGTTACTTGGTACAACACTGAGAATTCTGGAAAAAACAAAACTTTATTGCCACAGACACAGTGAGATGGCTCTCTTTTGCATAAGCTATTAACATTTATGATGATCAGAATTGAGATTCTACTCTAAAAGACACTGGCAAAGCAAGATCCCTTTTGTTCTAATAACATGGACTTCGGATGATTTTCCTCACCTGCTCAATTATTTGCCTCACGGTATTTAATCGAACAACTCCATTAGGTTTCTCAGATCCTGCATCTTTCGGTTCCGTCTCTGCAAAAGCAAAACTATGGCTAAATAATGGGGGAGTGGGAGGGGTGTGAAAATCAATGACAACCAAAGGCTCTAACTTAACATCAGTACAGTAATGGCACATCCGGAATTAGAGGACTCATGGGGAGAGTGGGGAAGATCCACAGCACTCAGTGTTTTATGTATAAAACCCGGTGTCTTGTGCATGCCAGGCAAGAGCTTTCTACCACAGAGCTACACCAGGCCTGTTTAACTAAATTCTAACCATGAAGAAATGATTAGGCTAGGCCAACAGGGGTCAATTCTATGAGTCAACTGGTTTGCAGTCTGTAACTTGTCCCAAGATATTTAGAAAAAGATGGGGACCAGAACGATGTAACAGAAATCATTTAAAAAAGAAAAAAGAATAACAAACCTGAAATATTAACTGTATAATCACTCTTTGTACCCCGAATTTAAAACAAAAAAGGAGTTAAAAGAGGACATAATAGGGACCACTGGGGAAAAAAAATGTTAATTTTTGTATAAAATACTAACTATACAAAAACTAATCTATTTAGTATCTATAATTATACTTCTGCTAAATACAGGTTGAATTTCCTTGATCAGAAATGCTTAAAGCCAGGCGCCGGTGGCTCACGCCTATAACCCTAGCTACTCAGGAGGCTGAGATCTGAAGATCAAGGTTCCGAGCCAGACCGAGCAGTAAAGTCCATGAGACTCTTATCTCCAATAAACCACCAGAAAATGAGAAGTGGCACTGTGGCTCAAGTGGTAGAGAGCTAGGCCTTGAGCTGAAGAGCTGAGGGACAGCGCCCAGGCCAAGTTCAAGCCCCACTCCAACCAAAAAAAAAAAAAAAAAAAGGCATGAATATGTGTAGTAGTGCATGCCTGTCATCTCAGCATTACTCTTTCAATGTTTCTATGTGTTAGTTTTTCAAAGCGAATACTCTCAAAGAAATACATCATTGGCAGACACTCACTAGCAGTTTGGAAGAAGTCTGGTAACTCATTTGCCAACTTCTCCATGGCTATATCAGCAATGGGGCCAAAAAGGACCACCGGTCTCTTGAAACCAGCTGCAATGAGAAAACAAAAGTCATGAACAGACATATATGCTAGTTTTACTACTTCTTTCCCTATTTGGATCCACTTTCTGTTTTCCTCTTGCCTTATTGCTTATGCTAGGAATTCTGATACTATGTTGAAGAGGGATAGAGAGAGTGGGCATCCTTGTCTCATTACTGATTTTAGGGCAAATGGCTTTTGTTTTTCGCTGTTAAGCATAATGCTAGCTATAGGTTTGTCACACACGGCCTTTATTATACTGAGGAGTGTTCCATGGATTCCTAGCTTCTCCATAAAGGGGTGTGGGATCTTATCAAAAGCCTTTTCTGCATCTATTGAGATGATCATGCGGTTCTTGTCCTTACTTCTGTTGATGGAGAGCTCAAATAGTATAATCTTTTAGAAAAACCAAGTCAAAGCCCAACAAAATCAACATCAGAAAATGGGTGCATTCAAGAGGAGGCCAAGAGGACAAAGCTAGAAGAATGAAGGGGGTAAGGAGGGAAGAATGCAGTCAAGAATGGACTGTAGGGGCTGAGAAGGTGGCTCAGTGGTAGAGTGCTTGCCTTGCATGCATGAGCCCTGGGTTCGATTCCTCAGCACCACATAAGCAGGAAAAAAAAAGCCGCAAGTGGCACTGTGGCTCAAGTGGTAGAGTGTTAGCTGAAGAGCTGAGGGACAGCGCCCAGGCCCAGAGTTCAGGCCCCATGACTGGACCCAAAAAAAAAAAAAAAAAAGAATGGACTGTAGGAAGTGGCGCTGTAGCTCAAGTGGTAGAACACTCATCATGAACTAAAGAGTGAGGGACAGCATCCAAGCCCAGAGTTCAAGCTCTACAACCGACAAAAAAAAAACAACAAAAAAACAGTGGATTGTATATATCACAAAATTAAGAAAAGCAGGGAAAGGGTAGGTCAAAGAAGGGTGAGAATATTGAAGCATTCATAAACCGCTTTGTTAAATGGGATCTCCCTATGTACTACTACATAAAAGGTAACTTTAAAAATAAGTTCAAAAAAAAGATATACACTAGCCTAAGCATTCAAAAGCAAAAGCAAAAAGCAAAAGTATTATATAGGTTTTAAAAATCACCCAAATAAATAAATGATTAAGATTGCATTTTTCCACCCTAGTTCTTTTCTGAGAAATATGCTTTCAATACCCAGCCAGGGTCTGGTGTGGCTCCTGGAAATCCTAGCTACTCAGGAGTTTGAAATCTGAGGATCATGGTTCAAAGTCAGCTGAGGCATACAAATATAAGAGACTCCTATCTCCAATTTCCCAGCAAAAAGCTGAAAGCAGAGGTACGGTTCAAGTGATAGAATGCCCTCCTTGAGCAGAAAAGCCAAGAGAGAGCTTAAGGCTATGAGCTCAAGCCCAAGTACTGGTATATATACACAAATAAAAAGTAAGTAAAATATCCTAATCTTTTGTAAAACTTTGCTGTGGGTAACATACAAAACCTCTGGAACTGGGCATTAAACACATTTTATTAGGCTGTAGACATTTGCTTCCATTTGAAGCATCTGGAGAGATCATTTTTTGTAAGGCTCCTTGTTCAAATGATTCTAACAATATACCCCCGCTTTTCAAGGAGATGATGTGGGAAAATGGGGGGCCCCTGCCTCGCCCTTCATGGCTTCCTCACCTTCTCTCAACAATACCCTCTCGTAAGCTGGGAATTTGGTGCTCACAGACACGAGAGCTGTTAAGTCTTCCCGACTCTTTCTCAGGTTCTTCTTCACCCCCGACCTCTGGCCACGCATCCTCCAGAAGTCGGCCCTGTCCCCAGCATTGTCTTTCTGGGCATTCTGGACACTAGCCATTTGTTCCGCTCTGAGAAGAAAAACACCATGGGAAGTGAGTTCTGAAGCCAGGATATGGAGCACATGTGCATGCCATCGCTTGGATTAGGGAAGATTTCAGAGAGGGAAACTTGGGATCTTCTACTTCTCAATTAAGAGGCAGAAGGGTGGGGCCTCTATGAAATGCACCAGAAGTAGCTCAGCACTTCATATGCTGTATTTGGCTCATCTGATAGATATACAGTGTGCGAAAGGTTGTCTTTTCTATCCATGTAGGTTGCTTAAAAGTTCCTGCTTTGACCTAGTGGCTAGGCTCTTGTTGATTACTCTGCTTTAGGATAAAGAAGAATTCTGGGAATGTAACATTTTGTCTTAACTGGTGGCTCCAAGATGGAATTAAGATACACCTCCAAAGACACATCTCAAGAGATTTAAGAATAGCAGGCGGTCGCTGGTGGATCACACCTCTAATCCTAGCTACTCAGGAGGCTGAGATCTGAGGATCGAGGTTCAAAGCCAGCCCAGGCAGGAAAGTCCATGAGACTCTTATCTCCAATAAACCACCAGAAAACCAGAAGTGGCGCTGTGGCTCAAGCGGCAGAGCACTTTCCTTGAGCTGAAGAGCACAGGGACAGTGCCCAGGCCCAGAGTTCAAGTCCCACGACTGACCAAAAACAAAGAATAGCAGAGGGTAATGGGCATGTTATGAGACTTATTGTGTACTATTAATCTGACTTTGAACTCTTTTAACCACCACCTTATGTAAATACATCTGAAACCACTTCAAACTAGCCAATCACAAGCCAACTGTGAACCTGAGCTCAACCAATCTGAGCAGAGAGGTGGGGCCTGCCGCATTAGGGACAAATAAGAAACACACTGTGGGTTCTTCTATGTGCTTGCTTCCCAGATTTCTGATTGATAGCACACCCTTCTGCAGAAGTAAATTTTGCTCTGATGAGACAATTCTTTGTTTTTGTGTCTACAAGTCTTCAGTGGTTCTTGGAGAATATAGTTATAATAATAGGTATAAGTACACTGGGAACTCCTAAAACATAAGTAATCTTTCCTAGCTTCCATGTGGCCACCAGGCAGCAAGCATTCCCTGGAGGGCATAAGTGTCTCTGTAGAATGAGCACTGAAGGAAAGCTTATGCGGATTGCGCATGGTGGCGAAAAATTGTCACATACAGCCAAGTGCAGCCACCTCCCTGGGATGCTAAAGGACAAACCAGCTGTAGCTATTCAGCTCCAGGTCCTCTCGATAAGAGAACTGTTTATGAAGTCACGTGTGATTTCCGATTGGCCATTGCTTTTTGCTAGGAGAAGAGTCTGAGAGTGTGTGGAACAATGCAATCAGACCCATACCGGCTTTTGTTGGGGATTAAGCCTTTCTCCAGTTCATTTCCAATCCTCACGGCCAGCCAGTAGCCCAGCTTGCCGTCATACAGGGTGTCCACCACACGGAAGATCTCCCCCCTGGTGAAGGCCAAGCTCTGTGGAGTCTCCTTCTCACACTCAAAGTGGCTTCTTATGAAAAACGAGTCTCCTCTGCCACAGGCCAGGATGTCTCTATACACTGAAAGGCAAAAGCACAGTTTGGTGCATTTGGCTGAACTGAAGATCTTTGTTGTGTTACCTGCTTCTCCCGTCTCCGATCCGATCACCCCCTCCTGCCTCCCTCCATGCAGTAATCTCAGTGCAGAGATTTTACGGGAATCATGACTCCAACAGAAAGAAGGCCATACCTGACTGGGTATCAAGTGTGCAAATATTTGGTGAAACGTTATTCTAGGTGTTTATGGGAAAATGTTTTCTGGATGAGATTAATGTTATAGAGTAAGTAAAACAGACTGCCCTCTCTAACAAGGGTGGGCCTCATCCAAGCAACTATAGGCCTGAATAGAACAAAAGCCAGGCTATGAGTCCTTGGTGTCTTACTAGAGACACTCTCAGCACATTGCTATAGGCCTGGGCTGTGGTGGATTACTCTCAGGCCAGAGACAACAATCCTTCCTACCTAACGGCCTTTTAACTAGGATGTCAGTTTTCTTTTCTTCCCTGGTTCTCAGGCTTTCCGTTTCTCTCAGAACTAACCATCAGCTCTGCTGAGCCTTCTTCATCCTAAGAACTCATCCTGTAGATCTGTGATTTCCCAACTTCCATGACCATGCTAGTCAATCCCTCGTAACTGTATGTCTCCTATTGGTTCCCTAGCTCTTACTGGTTCTGCTTCTACACAGAACTCGAGCTAACAGAGCTGCCAATTAACCCTCTGAAACCACAGGAAATAAACTTGCAACCCACCCCACTTTCCAGACAAAATAAGGCCCAGAAAGATAGTCTGACAGAAGGGTAATTTACAGTTGGAGCTATCAACTACACTTGTCATATGAAAACTTAATAGAGGAAGTGGTGCTGTGGCTCAAGTGGTAGAGCACTATCCTTGAGCTGAAGAGCTGAGAGACAGTGCTCAGGCCCAGAGTTCAAGCCCCATGACTGAAAAAAAAAAAAAAAAAAGAATCTCAAAAACTTAATAGAAACTTCAGGCAGAACTTGAAGACACATATCATTGTTTAGAAAAGCAGATGGGCTCCAATTCACTCAACTTGTGAAATTACTTCAATAAATAAACACTTTTGTACCAAGTTTAAGGCACCCAAATTTTCTCCATAAGAAATAAAATATAAATAAATAAAAATAATTATATGTAATATAATCCATTATATATAATTATATAATGTAATCAATTATATATGGATACATTATATGATATACAATAATTATACAATTGCATCATATAATTATTATTATCAATCATAATTTTACCCACACACCTCGACCTGTTCTTTCAGCTCAAGAAATCTCTTTTATTCTTTCCACCTCCCCCAAGGAAAGTAAATAACCAAACTTGCTTACCATCAGCGCGGCTCTGAGCCAGGATGCTCACCATTTCACCTTTGGGGATTTCTAACAGGTAGAGAACAGCATCCTCCCGTACCAGCCCTCTGAAGTCCTGTGTGTTTACCTGACAGGAAAGGAAAACAGAGAATAAAGAGAGAAAGAAAGAGAGATGATCACAAAATGCTACCTGAGCTTTTTGTTTGTTTTCACCGGGGCCTTTCCCAAAGCAAAATGAGAATGTAGCCAAACGTCTCTACTGAAACCCTTTCCAGCACCTGCTGCAGGCCTGGGCTATGTGGCCACCGCTCCACCTTCCCGCCTCCCAGCTCTGACAACCACCCCATAGGATAAACCTTTGAGCCAGGGTTTTGTAACTGGATCATGTAAGATAAACATTGGTCAGTGTTTGTCTCCCTCTCTTTGAATCTCCCCCAGAGGTGGTCAAGGAGGTAACATACAAGTGTGAAACCAATGATGGTAACATAATAGGGGTGCTGGGGCTCATGGTAAGCACAATACTTTTCATAAGTGATTCAAATAAATCGGCAAATAGAGATCCTGAATAATTTTACTATTCTCCTATAATTCAACCAAGGGTGTTTAATGCCAGCTATAGACCTGTAATTCTAGCATTCAGGAGGCTGAAGTTGGAGGACTGAGAGTTTGAGACCAGACTGTTTACATAAAACCTTGTCTTAAAGCTGGTAGCTCACGCCTGTAATCCTAGCTACTCAGGAAGCTGAGATCTGAGGATCAAAGTTCTAAGCCAGCCCGGGCAGGAAAATCCATGAGACTCTTATCTCCAATTAACCACCAGAAAACTAGAAGTGGTGCTATAGTTCAAAGGGGTAGAGCTCTAGCTATGATCAAAAAGAGCTCAGGGGTAGCACCCAAGTTCAAGCCCCACAACTCTCAAAACAAACAAAAAATAAACTTGTTTTACACACACACACACACACACACACACACACACACACACACACACAGAGCCACATCAAAATCTGAAGTGTATAACAAGTGTTTGTGAAGTTGAAGGCATTAATCTTACATGTATGGCTGGTATACATAAAGGCTTACACGACCAAGCCTCTGATTCCACCCTTCTTTCTGGCAAGAAGCCCCCATAATTACTCCACAAGGATTAAACATTATAAATAGCTTTAGGAAAATGACTTATCGGAGCCAGCAAGATCAGAAGGTATCATAAAGACGCTTGACAATCCTAATTCTGTACCTTTGAAATTCTTTTAGAGCCAGGCACTCGTGGCTTTCTTTTGTAATCCTAGCTACACCAGGAAGTGGAACATGAGAGGACCATGATTCTAGGCCAGTCTGGACAAAAAGTCCAGGAGACTCTATCTGAAACTACCTCATAAGAGTAAGTTTTAAAATCAAAGATTTGTCAGTGGAGCAAAGGATCTGAGCAGACACATTCCCCCGTACTCAGTTTCAGCCTACTGCCTCATACATTAGTGTTCAACGGGGCAACACAGGACAGATAAAAATTTACCAGATCTACACTGGGCACTGGTAGCTCACGCCTGTAATCCCAGCTACCCAGGAGGCTGAGTTTGAAGCCACTCTGGGCAGGAAAGTCTGTGAGACTCTTATCTCCAATTAATTACCCAAAAAACCAGAAGTAGAATGGTGGCTCAAAGTGGTAGAGCTCTTAACTTTGTGTGCAAAAGCTCAGGGACAGTGCCCAGGCCCTGAGTTCAAACCCCACAACTGACCAAACAAAAAACAAACAAATAAAAAACAGCTTACAAGATCTTTTGAGATTTCATTCTTATTGGTTCTTAACACCAGTGTGTGTGTGTGTGTGTGTTCTTTTTCTCAAGGCTAGCACTCTGCCACTTAAGCCACAGAGCCACTTCCAGCTTTGGCTTACAAGATCTTTTGAGATTTCATTCTTATTGGTTCTTAACACCAGTGTGTGTGTGTGTGTGTGTTCTTTTTCTCAAGGCTAGCACTCTGCCACTTAAGCCACAGAGCCACTTCCAGCTTTGGCTTACAAGATCTTTTGAGATTTCATTCTTATCGGTTTTTTTTTTTTTTTTTTGGTCCGGTGATGGGACCTGAACTCTGGGCCTGGGCGCTGTCCCTCAGCTCTTCAGCTCAAGGCTAGCACTCTACCACGTGAGCCACAGCGCCACTTCCGGCTTTTTTTCTTTTTGCTTATGTGGTGCTGAAGAATCGAACCCAGGGCCTTTGGCATGCAAGGCATGCGCTTTACCACTGATCCACCTTATCCACCTTCCCAGCCCCATCTTATCGGTTCTTAACACCAGTGTGTGTGTGTGTGTGTGTGTGTGTGTGCGTGCGCGCGCGTGTGTGTGTGCCACCTTCCCAGCCCCATCTTATCGGTTCTTAACACCTGTGTGTGTTTGTGTGTGTGTGTGTGTGTGTGTGTTGGTCCTGAGATTCTTTTTCTCAAGGCTAGCACTCTGCCACTTAAGCCACAGAGCCACTTCCAGCTTTTTCTGAGCAGTTTATTGGAGATAAGAGTCTCAAAGACTTTCCTGCTTCCAGTGGTTTCAAACTTTGATCCTCAGCTCTCAGCCTCATGAGTGAGTAGTAAGGATTACAGGTGTGAGCCACCAGTACCCAGCTTGACTTTTTTTTGTTGGTGCTGTTAATCAAACAAAAAAATATTGGCAAGAGTTTTAAACTCTATAAATTGCTACAGACATAGGAATGAGTTTGGGGCTCTAAAACTGACAAAGCAGGACCCATTGGAGGGATATGGAGCCCTTAAACTGCAGTCGGTCTCCTTTCAGAGGCTAGACCACCTTCACATCTTTTCTGCAAAAATACCCAGACAGCTCCAGAAAGGGGCTGTGCTTTCCTTACCTTCAGAATCTGGTCTCCTTCTTGAAGGCCTTCCTGCTCTGCTGAGGTTCCCTCCTGAATGCCAGCCACAAATATCCCCACGTCGTTGCCGCCAGCCAGCCGCAGGCCCACACTTTCTCCCTTCTTGAACCTCACCATCTTGGTGTTGGGGCTGTGGGGCGTTTGGTTTCAGGAAAGGAGAATGAGATTGTTTATAAAAAGGGGAATGCACATGCGCAGATGAGAGATCTGATTCCTTCCATCCCTAGATAGATTTATAGTTCAGCAAGCTCTCGAGTTTTTCGCATCTATTCTTTAGCCTTATCTTCCTGGGACAGAGTGATGAGGGTCAGCAGTCTCACATTACCAGTAAAGAAGGAGAAATCGATAACCCGCGTCACTGAGAGAATAAATTCAGGGCGAGTTTTTAGGCTAACATCTAGCTATCAGACTCTCAGCTTATGGTTCTTCCAGGGCAAAGTCCATCAGCACTGCACTCACAGGCCTTTGTCAAATAAAGACCCTGCTCAGATCCAAGTCCTAATCCATCAGCCGCCATGGCAGTGACCCAGGGCTCACTCACAAGTGCAGAGCTCTGCTCACACGCCTCTCTCCCTACCATACTCCATACCTCTTGTCTCTGTGGTCACTACAGAGGCTCTGTGGGCAAGAATACTTGACCAATAAGGACAGCTACATATCTGGCCAATGCAAATATTCAAAGAGCATTCACAAGTAGCCAGCCAGGAGGAGAAGCACAGAAAACATTAACATCACAAAGTTCATGCACTGCCGCATTTTTGCTTTTCTCTCCAATGGTTTCTTTCATATGAACAGTAGCAGTAGAGTTTGGGTTAGGATAGTTTATTAGGAAATCACTATCTGTGAGTTTAAAAAGAGGCAGCATTCTTTTGGATTTCAGTTAAGGAGATGAGCTAGGTAGAAAGGGGAGTGGGGAAGGGGGCGGGAAGAAGAGTAAGAGACGATAGTACCTACCCATATATTGCTTCATCTTCAGGACTAGGCCGAAGGAAAGTTCTTGGGGCTGCTCTGGGTTGAGGAACTGTGGATGAAAAACCATTTAATGTGAATGAGCATGTCCCTCACAGTGTAGCTTGCCTGTCATGAAGGAGGCCCTGGGCTCAATCCCCAGCACTGCAAAGGAAAGGAAAAACAAGACAGAACTGCCTATCTTCTCAACATGGACTAGCAGAAGCTTGTTTGTAAATAGTCAGGAGCTGTGACTTACACCTGTAATCCTAGCTAATTGGGAGGCAGAGACTGAAGTAGAGTAATTCAGGGCTAACACGGGCACAAAACGTTTGTGAGGCTCTAATCTTGATCGATGGCAGAACATGGTGGCACATATCTGCCATCTCAGGAACAAAGGAAAACACATCTAAGACAATGGCCAGCCTAGAGGTAGAAAGAATCTATCCTGATAATAACCAGTACAACAAGGTACTGGTCAGAGTGTCTCAAAAGTGAGGTACTAGGGGGCTGGGAAGGTGGCTCAGTGGTAGAGTGCTTGCCTTGCATGCCTGAGGCCCTGGGTTCGATTCCTCAGAACCACATAAGCAAAAAGAAAAAAGCCGGAAGTAGTGCTGTGGCTCAAGTGGCAGAGTGCTAGCCTTGAGCTGAAGAGCTGAGGGACAGCGCCCAGGCCCAGGCCCAGAGTTCAGGCCCCATGACCAGACCCCCCCCCCAAAAAAAGTGAGGTACTAGGCCCTGAGTTCTAATTCCAGTACAGCCAAAAAAAAAAAAAAAGGCTGGTAAAATCCACAAAAGTTATATACTTTATTCTATTTACATGTTTATACATAAAACAAACAAAAAGAGAAATCTTCCAAAATACAAGATACACAAGCACAAGAAGTTAGTATTTTATATAACTAGAAAAATCATGTAACAACACTATTCTGTTCATGTGTAAATATTTATGTAAAATTTCAGGGTGATGGAAGCAGAGTTATGGCGACAAAGTAGGGATCATTGATGGAGGACAAAAGAACTAACTCACAGCTAGGCGCTGGTGGCTCACGCCTGTAATCCTAGCTACTCAGGAGGCTGAGATCTGAGGATCATGGTTCAAAACCAGCATGAGCAGGAAAGTCTGTGAGACTCTTGTCTCCAGAAAACCTGAAGTGGAGCTATGGCTCAAAGTAGTAGAGCTCCAGCCTTGAACAAAAAAAGCCCAGGGACAGTACCCAGGCACTGAGTTCAAGCCCCATGACTGACCCCAAAAATAACAAAAAGCAAAAAAACTCAACAAATCTATCAAATGGTAATCAATTCTAATGGCATGTAGAATTGCACTTATATAAAAAAGGAGGCCCTGTTCCATTTTAAGAATTATTTTTATTACCCATTATTTTATATATACATTAAAATTTTCTCTTTCTCTCTCTCTCTCTCTCCTTCCAACTACCCTACGTAAGTATCCAACATATACTTCTCAACTCTCCTTTTGCAAATGGGTGGTCCTGGTGATTTTATGTCTAACTTGTACAAGGCCTACTCCACCACCCCAAAATAAAAGAACAGTCATAAAGTCTCACTTGGGGGCTCCTCTTGGTATCTGGATTCCTTGTTATTCTCCGCAGCAACAGCAGCTGTGATGTCCCCCACAGACTTGAACGGGGTGGGAGTGGCTCCCATCTTGGACAATCTGTTTGGTGTGTCCTCCCTTGAACTGAAGCACAGGCGCATTAATGCTTCAGGGGTTACACTTGCAAGTACGTATGTGTTTGCACTCACTGCGATGTGTCTAAGAGAAAATTCACATCATCTCACCTCGGCTTTTCCTTCAGCTTCTCATTGGAAGAATGATAATCATAATCAGAATACTGGTGACGTCTCTCCTCTGGAGAAAAGGATCGGTTTGACTCTATCTCTGAGATATCTAGTTTCAAAAATAAAGACTTTTTAATATAATACTTAAGACATTACCAGGCAGGATACTAATCCCTGGAGAGGAGACATGGGAAATGAAAATAAACAGGCAAAATGTGCTATTAGTCTAATAATCCTTACTTCCCCTGGAGTAGGGAAAAAATAAAGAAAGGTAACTTTAAGAAAATGGCACTAATAGAGAAGGCAAATTTAGAATTTTTTACATTTCTCTTTTTCTTTTGCCCCATGCATTGGGCCAAAATCTGCCTATTCTAGGATTTCCGTCATAGCGAGGTAGATCGGCAATTACTTCCAGCTATGAGTCAAGAAGGGCGATCTCACAAACTGTCCTGCCCAGGCTAGCCTTAAACAGTGATCCTCCCGACCTCAGCTACCCAAGCACCGGATGACAGGCATGAGCCACCAGTACCCTGCTATAGGCTCTTTTACCTCTGCTTTCTTTCCTTCCAAGCTGGTACTGAAAGGTAACAGTCATCCTTCAGTATCTGTGAAGAGATGGTTCTAAAGACTATTCCCTAACTCCAATCACAGATGCCGAAGTCCTTTCTATAAAACGGCATCATAATTTGTCTATCATCTTCCCTGTTCTCCTGCATACTTTGAATCATTTCTGCATCACTTATAATACATCATCCAATGTAAATAGTATGGAGGTAGTTACGCTATATTATGTGTGAATAATGATAAGTAGTCTTGAACAGTGAGCATTCATTAGAAAGACTACCTGTGAACTGGCAGGAAGCTACAACCAGGACTTCAAGGCTTAGCATCCCACATAGTCAAGTTTTACCTTTGGAACTCTCTGGATATTCTTCCTTCCCCTTCCCCCAAATATTTTTTAACAGTGGTTGGCTGAATCCTCCAGAGATGTAGAACTCAAAAGTTGTGGAGCTCAGCTATACTGGCCATATGCAGATTCACTCATCCTTACCAATTACATCAGTTCATCTCAAATTTCAATATGTGTTCATCTAGGGATCTACTTAAAACATAGCTGTTTATAAATTCTTAAAAAAGACATCAACAATAATTGGGTACTGGTGGGTCATAGCTATAATCCTAGCTGCTCAGGAGGCTGATCTGCAGATCCCACTTTGAAGCTATCCCAGACAACAAATCCAAGAGACTTTTATATCCAATTAACTGGCAAAATGTCAGAAGTCATGGTGTGGGCTCACATAGGAGAATACCAGCCTTGAGCTGAGAAAGCTAAGGGAGAGTGCCAGGCGCCGAGTTTAAGCTTCAGTACACACACAAACATCAACAAAAACCTGTTTGAAAGCTTAAGAGTTGCACGGTGCTTAGTGGCTCAGGCCTGTCATCCTAGCTACTCAGGAGGCTGAGATCTGAGCATCACGGTTCAAAGCCAGCCCAGGCAGGAAAGTTTATGAGACTCTTACCTCCAACAAATTACAAAAAAAGCCACAAGTGGAGCTGTGGCTAGCCTTGAGCAAAAGAAGCACAAGGACAGAGCCAGGCTCTGAGTTCAATCCCCAGGACTCACCAAAAAAAAAAAAAAAAAGGCTTAAGAGCTTAATATTTACTTAACTTTCCTGCACGAAGACAATTGATTGTAGATGGCTACAAAGGATATGAGTACTTGTTATTGGCAACTTTTTAAAATGCCAATAAAGTTAATGTTAAAGTTAAAATGCTCTCCCATGTTATAAGGCATATTCAAGTAATATAGCTTTTAAAAGAGGAGAGGTGACCTGGATTACTAACCAATGGATATCACAATTTTCAGTCATTTCAAATGACAATTGCTATCTCGAACACTGTCTTCTTTTTGTTGAAAATATCAATACTTCGGCTTTTAAAGAGTTACATAAATTTGTTTAAGAATAAGCAACTAGGAAATGTAAAAATAGCATGGTTAAGTTCTTGGGATGGCTCACACATATATTATTTACCAACAAGTTTTGCTTTCTGTGGCCTAATTATGATAAGTCCTTTGGGATTCCCCAAGCGCTTTGAGAATTTCATACTGAAAATCTACTTTCAATAGACACCTTAATAAGCAAACAACCACGGGCCACTTCTCTTCTGGAATTAAAGTTTAAAAGGAAGGAAGGCTTGCACAGAAAATTTAATCTGCAACTGAGTGGTTGACTTAAGAGAGACAAGGCCACAGTCCTCTGACTTCTAGCTAATCATCCATCCAGCCTCCTCCTGCCCTTCCTTCCTCCCTCTCCCCTTCCCCTTCTCCCTCTCCTTCTCACCTTCTATTTCTGAGTCACTGTCATTTAGTGAGGGGATGTTGATTAGAGTCTGCTTGCTGTCTCTCAACACCACCAGCTGAAGTTTCCCTCTGGATTTTTCTATCAGTTTTCGAGCATCCGTTAAAGATATGTTCTCAGTGACAGTCCCATTGATCTGTAGTTATGAACAACAATAAGGTTCCATGTGGTACAACCATTCACAGCCCAGTAGAAAATGCCTATTTCCCCTTTGTAAAACTTCCAAGGCTTTGCTCAGATACTCCAACATTAACTTCAACTGAATACCAATCAATTGCCCTTTACATTAAATACTGCCCCACATGCCTGGATCCCAAACACAGGTGAGAAAGAGTGACAGTGTACTTAAGTTACCCTGCTAATTTATTTAACTTCCAAGCTCAAGACAATAGCTTGGTTTACTACTGGAACATGTTTCCTGACCAGAGAGGTTTACAGAAGCCATTAAATATTCACCATTCATATTCTAACAGCTGACTCATCTTCCCTTGGCTTAGGAAATAGAAACCTAAACTTTAAATAAACAACAAAGACAAAAGTATTCCGTGGGAGTTACTGGTTGTTGTATGTGTGTGTGTGTGTGTGTGTGTGTGTGTGTGTGTTTAATTCAATTAGTAGAATGCCCAGGTCTGGTTTCATCTTCTTTTCTTTTTTTTTCTTTTGGTGGAGCTGGGGACTAGCCAGTGCTTCATACACACTAGGCAATCATAGGTCTGGTCTTCCTGATAAAATAAACAAACAAAAAACCAATCCCAAAACCTCACCAGGCTGCTCTTCCTGGCCTCTGCTTTGCTACTGAGCTCCCATATTACTGCAACTATGCTTTCCTATATTGGTGCTTCCATGTGGAAATCTAGACTAGGACCACATGCACACACACACTTGCTCTGTCCTCATCACTCACCTTGAGAATAATGTCTCCTTCATGAAGGTTGCCGTCTTTGGTTGCCAGACCCGTTCTGGTCATTTCCTTGATGAAGATCTGACTCCCCAGGCGGAGGCCATACTCTAGGAGACATCAAATGCACACGTATGCCATCAACTTGTTCAGAAAACTTAGCCTGGCTTCAGACTAAAATCCTATCTGCAAATTTAATTTTGCATATGGGACGTCGTGTAATACCACTGACTTGGGTGCCTCAAAATTGTCAACATCATTTAAAAAATAATAGAAGAGGAAAGCACAGGATTAAATAGGCATTAAAAAAATAATAATAATGCAACCAGGTATCTGTGGGCTCCCATCTGTAATCCTAACCAGGCAGGAGGCTGAAATCTGAGGATCATGGTTCGAAGACAGCCCAGGCAAGGTAGTCCATGAATCTCAGGGACAGTTCCCAGGCTCAGAGTTCAAGCACAAAACTTAATAATAATGATGCACAAAACATTATTAGATGAACAGGAGAGTGGGGTGAGATGAATTCCATTATTCTAGAGTAATTTCAAAATGAACCATACTCTATTAATTGTGATCACAATTGCGATGGAGAATGGCATTCTTGTCCTTGAGATTTTATTCCCGGTAAGAGGTAACACTCCCTGCAATTCACTTTTAAGGGCTCTCAAAGGAACCATTGTGTGAGAAAGCACAAGGAGTGGGGGTAGACAGAAAAGAAAACCTGAGAAAGAGGAAGAGAAACACAGCAAACGCAGCAAATCGTTCCCAACAGATAAAACTCTGTCTAAAGGCTCCACGGGTGTGTGCTATGAGATGAACATTTTTCAAATGAAATGCTAGAGTGGGTAGAATCAACCCATCACATCCTCAAAGCCTCGGCTAGCAAGGAGTCTGCCCACAGGCAGGCCTGCTCACCATGGCCCCTCATCTGTATCGACTTACACTGTGGGTCAGACCCTGAGAGCCAGGGGAAGCCAGGTAAAGCAATCAGTTAAGCACTGACCCTCGCAGTGTGCAATGGTTTAAGCACTTTGTTCTCACAAACGAATGCTGAGTTTACTGGGAATCCCTGTATTCCAGAATCTTTGGTACTCTTCAGCCTACTCTCATTTTACTTATTAAACCTATGAAAATACATTTTAAGCATAGATGGGGGTGACTTTAGGAAGGTCATCCCAGCAGGTGTGAAAACAAGCCCATGCAAAGGGTGAAAAAGTGCAGCAGTGGAGCTCACTGGACACTGAAGAAAGTGAACTGTACAACTCATGGGTAGAGAGGGGAGGGACCTGGAAAAAAATGAAGGAAAAGAAGACACTGTATGGGAGGAAATTTACTAATTACCTGACTCATGTAATTGTAGTCCCTCTGTAGATCACCTCTATACTAACAATAAAGTGATTAATAAAAGAAAAAAATCTTGTAATCTGCCAGGCACCAGTGGCTCACACCTGTAATCCTAGCCACTCAGGAGGCTAAGATCTGAGAATCATAGTTTGAAGCCAACCCGGGCAGAAAAGTCCATGAAACTCTATCTCTAATTAATCAACACAAGCCAGAAGTGAAGGCATGGCTCAAGAGGTAGGTTCCAGCCCTGAGCAGAAAAAGCTCAGAAAGCATACATGGAACTAGGTTTGAGTTCTAGTACCAGTACACACATGCATACACAAAGAAAAGAAAAGAGAGAGAAAGAGAGTGGGGGGAAGGAAGAGTGGAAAGAAGGGCGGAAGGAAGGAAGGAAGGAAGGAAGGAAGGAAGGAAGGTCGGTTTTGTAATTAAACAAGGTAACTTAGGAAAACTGTGAAGTAAATTTAATAACTTATACTTGTTAGAAGTCATCTTACCCCAGTGATAAAAAGTAGGCACATACCTCCCTCTACATACACGCATCTTAGGAAGCAGAAAATTAAAAACTGAAGGGGATAAGGACTTCTTCCATGAATACTGATGCCCTTCTTCCAGACAGGCTCATGCCCGGGACAGTGGTCTGGGACAAGTCTAACTTACCTATGTTGTTATACTGCCCTTATCCTCTTAAAAACTTCATTCGTAGGATAGAGGGGTAAGAATGGATGGGATACAGTGCAAACATGTGGAAAAGCAACAATGAAATGCTCCTTGTATGACTGATGTAAGCTAATTTAAGAGTAAATAAACTCTCACTATAATGTTTGCAAATAGACTTACTGGTATTTATGTGGGTATCTTTTAAAGGAAAAAAGTAGCCAGGTGCTGGTGGCTCATACCTATAATCCTAGTTACCCAGGAGGAGATCTGAGGGTTGTAGTTCAAAGCCAGCCCAGGAAGGAAAGTCTGTGAGACTCTTATTTCCAATTAACCCCCAAAACCTGCAAGTGGAGTTGTGGCTATAGTAGTAAGTACCTGAGGAAAAGAGCTCAGGAACAGTGCCAGGCTTTGAGTTCAAGCCCCAGTACTGGCACACACATGTGCGTATACACACACACACACAGAGGAAAAGAGTAAACTTGACTGACCAACTTTTAAGACTTAAGATTCCACATGAAGTCCTTATACCTCTTACATTCTCCTCAGAGATGTCACAATCTCAACTTTCACCTTTTTTCCCCCTGAGCCTGGACTCCAGGTATCCCATTACTGATTTCCTTGGGTTATTGTTGGGTTATTTCAATAGAGACCTCTTTATATAACTCAGCTCTTCAAGAAAAGAAACCCTCTCCCTTGTCAGGTTATTTAAAATGCAAATTCCCACACTAAAAAAGCAAAGAGTCATTCACTTGGCATTCTTTTATCTTTTTCTTTTTTCTCTTTCTCCTGCTCTTTATCATTTCTTCTTCTTGGAAGAAAAGCAATTAGAGAACAAAAGGTATGTCACCAAGAATTTTAAAAGTCAGAAGATAAGAACTGATGTTAGCTCAGCACTAGGCTCAAAAGCCAGGTCCATTCATCTCCCTGCTTCAAGGGATGGAGCTGAAATTCCAGCTCCATCACTGACTACATTCCAGCCCTGAGCAAGCTGCTACCCTCGTCTGTGTCTGAGAATCTTCACTTGTGAACTTTGAGTGCTAACAGCTTGCAGGTGCTTCTTGGGACTGGCACAGGATTAAATGAGTCCAAGGATAAAGGATTACAGCACAGGACAGGAGGACTGGGCCAGCCTCCACCTCCTCCAGGATATACCCCAACCCTGTCTCTGAGCTGTAACAGGAATGAAGTCTCGTAGAGCACCACTTGTGAACAATACAACATTTACTCAGCCTTGTCCTTGACACAGACACAAACTCAATCAAGACGGGCTGGAACACTGCCTGCTATCCTGGTTTCTCCAACTTAAGATGCATCAAGCTCATGGGGAGAGCATGTTATTTAACACGTGCACATTCTAGGGACCCACCCGGTGTGTTCTGATTAAAGGGGGGAGAGACTGAGGCCTGAAATCTGTGTTCTGATTGGGGGAGGGGTGAGGGAAGAGGGTGAGAATCTTCACAAGCGTCCAATTAATAAACGACTTTGAGAACCACTACCTACAGACACAACGTTGCACAACTTCTGTGCTTCACTCTCATAGAAAAAAAAGATGCAAGAGATTAAAAGAGCTCCCTTTTAATGTGAGGGGTTCCAGTCAATGCCCCACGCATCTAAAGATGCCAGGTCAGAGCAAGCCCAGCATATCTTCTTAGAAGCCAGATCAGGGTGCAACTTCTGTGCCTCAGTCTCATAGAAAAAAATAAAATAAATAAAGTGGTCTCTCCTGATGTGGCTGTGAGGATTAAATAAGCCAATAGGAGCCAGGCATCAAATGCCCAGCCAATAGGAGCCAGGCATCAAGTGCCCAGCCAATAGGAGCCAGGCATCAAATGCCCAGATAATAGGAGCCAGGCATCAAATGCCCAGCCAATAGGAGCCAGGCATCAAATGCCCAGCCAATAGGAGCCAGGCATCAAATGCCCAGCCAATAGAGCCAGGCATCAAATGCCCAGCCAATAGGAGCCAGGCATCAAGTGCCCAGCCAATAGGAGCCAGGCATCAAATGCCCAGCCAATAGGAGCCAGGCATCAAATGCCCAGCCAATAGGGCCCAGGCATTCAGATTAGATGCCAGGTCAGAGCTGGCAATTCCTGCAGAATGATGCTCCTTTGCCTGCATCACGCATGCCTACCTTCATTTGCTCTGTTTTTGGTCAGAAGGACCCCGATGGGCCTGTCGGGGTCCAGGCGGCCCCTGGGCTCGGGGCTGGGGCTGCGTGAGCGCAGGTGCTCCCGGCTGCGGCTCCGGGAGCCGTCGAAGCGCGCCTCGGGCTGGGCTCGGCGGCGATCGCCAGCAGCTGGGCTGTAGGAGGGTTCGAAGTCAGCATCATAGGCGCGGTGATAGGTGTGCTCGTAGTCCCGGTCAATGCTCCGGCCACGGCTGGGGTCCCTCTTCCGGGATGACCCGAAGTCTTCATCCAGGCCGCGCTCCAGGCTGCGGCCCCGGCTGCGCCCATAGTCGTCCAGGCCGCGCTCCAGGCTGCGGCCCCGGCTGCGCTCCCGGCTGCGGTCCTGGCCCCGGCTCTGGCTCCGCGTGCGGTGCTGGGCACGGCCCCGGTCTGGGCCGTCCTCCCAGCTGCGGCTGAGCCCCTCGTGGCTGCTGTGGTGGCTCCTCTCGCTGTACCCGCTGCGGAAACTTCGGCCATCAAACTCATCCATCACTTCAAAAGCCCGGTCATCATGGCTGAGGGACGAGCTGTCGTGCACCGAGGCCTTCCGCGGCCGCTTGACCACCTGTGAGCCACACAAACACAGGGCGGATTCTGGGGAATCGTCAAGATGAAAAGGAGGATCAAAGGGCCCTGGCTATAGTTCCAATACAGCCACGCCACTAGCCGAGTGTGTCGGCACACACCTCTAATCTGAACGCTCCCAGGGGCAGAAGCAGGAAGATACCCAGTTCAGGCCCACATGAACTTCAGCCTAAGACCCTATAGGCTCAAAAACATCCACCAGGGCTGAGGACCTTGCTGTGCATACCATTGCCTGCCTAGCACAAGCGAGGCCCTGGCCGGGTTTTGCAAAAACCAGAAGAGAAAAAGGAAGAACAAACTAGGATGGGCAACTGTCATCTGAGGATCTGAGGATCGCAGTTCAAAGTCAGCTGGGGCAGGAAAGCCCATGAGATTCTTAACTCCAATTAACGACCAAAGAAAGCCAAAATAGAGCCATGGGTCAAGTGGTAGAGCACCAGCATTGAGTGAAAAGGCCAAGAAAGACCTCACAACCAGGAATTCAAGTCCCTGCACACGCACGCGCACACACACACACACACACACACACACACAGAAAAAAAATACTACATCACTTAAACCACTGTGTTCCTCTCAACTCACTGAGCCGTGGGCTACTCCTTTAGAACCCGGGGCAATAAAAATCTCACAGGGTTAGAATTACTTAAGACAGTGCCAGGAGCTAAGCATAAAAGCCCGCTTCTGTCCAGCTGTGAAAATCAGAGGTCTGAACATACCTACTTATAAAACTCAAAGGATAACCCACAAAGTGAGATATTCTATATATAACTTCCTGAAGTCTTCCAAAAGTTAATGCCATTTTGGAGGTGGTGAGCATAGTGGAAAGGCACCCTTCTAGATTAACATGGTCTAAAGAGATCATCAAACACAATGAATGCACTTCAATTCTGGTAGCAGAAGGCAAAAAAGGCCTATCAAAATCATCTTGAGCTGGGTGCCAGTGGCTCATACCTGTAATCCTAGCTACTCAGGAGGCTGAGATCTGAGGTTCATGGTTCAAAGTCAACTGGGCAAGAAAGCGTGCGAGACTCTAAACTCCCTCCAATTAACTACCAGCAAACCAGAAGTGGAGTTGTGGCTCTAAGAGGCAGAGCGTTTGCCTTGAGCACAAAAGCTCAGGGCCAGTGTCCTGAATCCAAGCCCCACAACTAGCAAAAAAATAAAAATAAAAAAAATCTTGAATTGAGAGTGGATTTTGGATGATAATGTAGTTATTAGGTATGATCACAGCATTAGAGTATATAAAAGAATGTCCCTGGGCTGGGAAGGTGGCTCAGTGGTAGAGCGCTTGCCTTGCAGGCATGAGGCCCTGGGTTGATTCCTCAGCACCACATAAGCAAAAAGAAAAAAGCCGGAAGTGGTGCTGTGGCTCAAGTGGTAGAGTGCTAGCCTTGAGATGAAGAGCTGAGGGACAGCACCCAGATCCAGAGTTCAGGCCCCACAACCGGACCCAAACCCTCCCCCACCCCCCCAAAAAAACAAGAAAAAAAAAAAAAGCATGTCCTTATTTTCTTAGCACATGAAGACTGCAGCAAATGAGACTATGAATTATTGTGTTCTTGGAAACTTTCCTCAAGTAGGAAAATCACTGTGGATTGAGGGGTATTGCTCAAGAGATAGAACATTTGCCTAGCATGCCAAGGAGTCCTGGGTTCAATCCCCAGCACCAAAAAGAAAAGAAAAAGAAAAACCAGAACCACTGGCCACAGCAGAAGGACCAGGAAAAGACTATAAGGATAATTACACACATCTTCACCCCATCCATAACTAAGGATCCAAGATGTCAGCAGGCCCTACATTACGTAATTCTTCAGAAACAACTAGTCATTTTCTTCTGAGCCTAAAAACAAAATGTTTAAAGTAAGCCAAAAGCAACCCTAGGACTTACAATGGCAGCGATCTTCCCGCTTTTTCTCAGCTGCTGAACTGCAAACGAATGCGGTACATCCTCCATGGAGGTGCCGTTAACCATGACCACCCTGTCATTTTCTCTGAAATAAGAAATAAAAATGGGTTGTGGAAAATTCCCAACTTAATTGTCATGATGTTTCTGATAGGATAGAGGCTGCAAATGCAAATATGCCCAAAACACGTCAACTCTCCCAAGGAGAGAAAGTAGGAGGCACAAGGTCACATTCCAGTGTCCACTGGAGCCCTGGGGAGGGGAAGGGGGGAGGGATAAGGCTGCCCTCCACAGGGTCATCCCAGGAGATCCCCATAATGGTGGTGTCTAGACGCCAAAAGCAATTTCTCTATCAGTCCAGTTAGCTGAGATGCATGATATATGCATGGGTGTTTCCAATCCTTATTCTCCTAAAACACCTGCTCATCTATTCATGCTTTATGGGAAGGGAAGGTCAAGAGCTTTTCTGAGATTTTCTTTATGAGGTTTTGTTGTTGTTGTTTAGGGTTTGAATTCAGGGACTTGCATTTGGTGGGCAGCTTGCTCTACTCCTTAAGTCACACTTCCACTCCTTGTTTCTCAGATTCTCCAAGAAATTTTAAGACCTTAGAATTCTGTTGCTTCAGTTCATCCACCAAACTATTATTCCAAGTTTCATATGGCCCCATGACTGCTCTTTTTGATACAGCCAAAAAGGCTTGAAATACTAAAAGAATCTCTACATTTAAGCTATCTAACCAATGCAGCTATGCAGTTAACTTTAGATCCTTTCCCAAGAAGTTATTCCAAGAACTTGGGCATTATCTCTTCAGGCAAGAAGAAAACTGGCTATGGGAAAAGTTGGGTTTTCCTGTCTGAATTTTCCTATTACTTATATCCCTCTTACAAACAGGATAACTAAGCAAAAGTCTTCTCATTAAATTCTTGGGGAAGGGGTAGGTGGAAGTTGGGGGTGAAGGGGGTGCTGGGTTCAAACTCAAGCTTCATACATGCTAAGTACAGCTTTACTACTCAGCTACATCCCTAGACATTTTCACCAAATCCTTCAAAAATATGAATTGAAACATATATGAGTAATGTTTGGTAGACGCGAGGGGAGTATGTTGATTTTAAACTTAGCATTGGTTAATTTTTTCAAATAATTTATTTTATTATTACGTAGTTGTACAAAGAGGTTACAATTCCATAAGCCAGGTTATGAGTACATTACTTGTTTTTTTTTTGTTTGTTTTTGCCAGTTCTGGGGCTTGCCAGGCCTGGGCACTGTCCCTAAGATTCTTTTGCTCAAGGCTAGCACTCTACCACTTGAGACACAGTGTCACTTCTGGCTTTTCTGTTTATGTGGTATTTTTTTCGGGGGGGGGGCAGTTCTGGGGTTTGAACTCAGAGCCTGGGCACTGTCCCTGAGCTTCTTTTACTCAAGGCTAGCACTCTACCATTAGAGCCACAACACTACTTCCAGCTTTTTCTGTTTATGTGGCACTGAGGAATCAAATCAGGGCTTCATGCATACTAGGCAAGCACTCTACCACTGAGCCACATTTCCAGCCCCTTTCTGTTTATGTAATACTGAGGAATCAAACTTTATGCATGCTAGGCAAGCATTCTACTACTAAGCCACATTCCCAGCCCCTGGGGATAGTATTTCTTGATCACTGTCACCCTTTTATTGTTCTTCCCCATTTTCTTCTTTCCATCTCTTTCCCCAAGTTACCTAGTTCAATTTTTACATAATGTACATTGAATATAATGATTTCATTTGCTCACCCTTCCCTCCTCCTTCCATTCCTCTTTCTCAATGCCTGACCAACATGTTTCCACTTCCTAGCATTCATTTTGTTAAACAATTCATGAATTGTTCAGGAGTTACATGATTGGACCCCTCCCCTAGGTATTCCATGCCTTAATAAGTTTCTATATTTATACACATAAAACCCTGTATATATTAAGTGATGGTTAACTTTAACTGGACTGAGAAGCATTTAGATTAGTAAAGCACACTCCTGTGTATGACTGAAGATTTTTTTTTTCCCTGTTGGTTGTGGGGCTTGAACTCTGGGCCTGGATGCCAGCCCTGAACTCATCAGCTCAAAGCTGGTCCTCTACCACTTGAGCCACTTCCAGTTTTCTGGTGGTTTATTGGAGATAAAAGTCTCACAGACAGGGCTGGGAAGGTGGCTCAGTGGTAGAGCGCTTGCCTTGCATGCATGAGGCCCTGGGTTCGATTCCTCAGCACCACATAAGCAAAAAGAAAAAAAGCCAGAAGTGGCGCTGTAGCGCAAGTGGTAGAGTGCTAGCCTTGAGCTGAAGAGCTGAGGGACAGCGCCCAGGCCCAGAGTTCAGGCCCCACGACCAGACCCCCCCCCAAAGAAAAAAAAAGTCTCACAGACTTTCTTGCTGGAGCTGGCTTTGAACCACGATCTTCAGATCTCAGCCTCCTTGTAGCTAGGATTACAGGCCTGAGCCACGGGTTCCCAGCTGACTAAAGATTTTCTTAAGAGACAACTGTAAGTGGAAAAAGACTTTCCTGGCTGAGGGTGGCACATTCCCATAGGCTGGGGACGCTGACTGAATGGAATATGGAATAAGAAGAGAGGGACAAAGAAAAAGGCTGAGAGCAAAAGCTGTGATGTGAGGTGCTCTGCTCGCCACGCCCTCCCTAACATGAAGCCCAAATAAGTCACTCCTCTCTGTGAAACTATTCTTTTAGGTATTTCGTCGTAGTGATAGAAAGTCTAATACACACTCCATGCTCGGGAATGACTCTTCCCTAGGAAGAACACTTGTAATTACCTTCCTATGGAAAACTACTGCCTCTTGCCTCCAAAGTTAGAATGTCCCCACCCCACCCCACCCCGAGTTTAAGGGACTGAGAACATAATGTGTTAGTTGTGGCTTCACATCCCACTTGCAACTTGTCCAATGTTATATAAAAAGTGTTTTGTGGGGGGGGGGGTTGGTTTTTCTTTTCCTTTTAGAGTGCACGCTAACCAGAGCCCTCCATCTAATGTCAACAGCCCCGGCGTGCTGGGGTGAAGAGAAACAGAGACAACTCACTGGAGCAGGCCATCCGCAGGTCCCCCAGGGAGCACATCAGAAATGACGATGGATGTTTCTCCATTCTCAAAGTGGGGGTTATCTCTGCCTCCAGACACAGCAATTCCAAATCCTCTTTTGGAATCCTGTTGGTGGGGGAGAGGTAGGAGAAAAATGAAAAATCCTTCTGTAAGTGGCTTTCAGGATTTGTTACAAGCACTCAATCACATAAAGGTCAAATCAATAACCAGAGACAGCGCAGGAGCAGATGGGGCACACAGAAACAAATGAAAACCAGATAAAGCATCATTGTGGTCAGCTGACAGGGGAGGGGAAAAAAAAAAAACCCTTATCTAAAAGAAACAGCTTTGCCAAGCGGGAGAGCATTGATGGGTGGACTGGAGCCATGAGAAACCAGCAGGGAAGGAACAAAGTCTTCTGTCTAAATAGGGGTGTGCTGTTAGAAAGGAACTGTACCTGTTTGTGTCATGCTGTCCTGAGCTGGAACAACTTCAATTAAGATGGGATCTGGGCTAAAATTGTATTTTACAGTACATCTTGAACTTCACCTTAGATGAGCTAGCAATTTCATTTGAATTTAGGATGAAGAGAAGTTTATGGGCTTTCAAGATAAGAATCTGTCCCCTGTACTTGGGAGGCAGAGGAAGGAGGAAAGTGAGTTCCAGGCCAGCCAGGAACAATAAAACAAAAAAAAATCAAGCCAAACAAACAAACAAGATGAAAATCTGAGCATAAAATTAAGTGTTGCGCTCTCATGAGAAAGCAAAGCATTAAACCATTCCATGAATGGCAATGCGTACCAGTCAGCCTAGACAATACATAATCCTAACTTATTTCAGGGTTTATAAAAGCGAAGGCCAGTTTCATCCACAGACATGGGAAGATGTGGACTCATATCGTGAATCAGGCTGATGGTGTCAAAACTTACTCAGAGAAGAAAAGAAAATCTTTAGCCCATCACCAAGGAACAGCCAGCCCATGCTACCAACGGATTACCAACAATTGCGCACTTCAACCAGACTGAGTCACTGTCTGAATCATCCACACAACAATGAGTCTGAAGCCTCATCATCAAGCACCTGATTTTAGATATGGCCACGTGAGACTTGCACAACGCACCTTCTGCAGGGTCACAGTATACTGCTCCCATATCAGCTCTTCCATGCCTGGAGCCTGTTTGAAAATAAACAAAACAGCTTGATCAAAATCATACATACTTTAGGGCTAGAAATAAAGCTGTCATCCAAAAACAGCTCAATACCAAGTCCAGATCATATTTCCTATACACCAAAAATAGGATAATTATTCATAATGTAATATCTATTTTCATGCAACTCTCCTTCCAGAAAATAGTGATCTTAATAATACTAGAAATTAGTGAAAGAGAGAGAGATACCCTTAAAGTGAGTGAGATGCTTGGCCCTTTACTATCTCCACTCACCTCTTTAGAAATATTTAGTCTCCCTGATATGTGAATGTTAAATCCAAAGTGCAAGGAGATATGACAAAGTAAACAGGATTCAAGAAACAAAGGCTCTCCATTCAATTTGTCATATCATTTCTAAATGACTCCAGGCTCTTGACCACATATATGGTGTGTGTGTGTGTGTGTGTGTGTGTGTGTGTGTACACATCTGAGGGAAGCTAGGAACAGGGCACAAATCAGAGGGAAACGGGGGAAAAAATACAACAGAGGAGCCCATCAGCTGCACTGGACATTGATGAAAACGAACTAAGCAACTCAAGAGCAGCAATGGGAGGGAGTGAATGAGAGGGAAAAGGGAACAGCTTACACTAACCAAAAGGAAAGAAATGGACGTATCACCCGATGTGGAAGAAATGGTTGTATTGTCAAAGCTCCTAGAATTCACAAACATTATAGACCATGATAATGACAATTTGCCTTGTGAAGGTTAAAATGTGTTTGTGATTTTAAGTATCACTATCTCATAATACTGTGAAATTTATGTAATCACTTCACCTCAATAAAAATTATTTTAAAATATTTAGTTTTAGCTGGGTACTGGGAATTCACATCTATAATCTCAGCTACTCAGGAGACTGAGATCTGAGGATCTGGGTTAGGCTTCAAACCAGCCCAGGCAGACAAATCTGAGAGACTCTTAGCTCCAATTAACCAACAGAAGGCTGGAGCTGGAGGCATGGCTCAGATGGTAGAGCCCCAGCCAAGCAAGAGCAGTAACCAGCACAAAACAAACAAAACATCTAGTTAGAGCAGATTTATTTTTCATTTTAAAGGCTCCCCGACCCCGCCTTCTCCTATCAAAAGTGATTTCCTGGCAAGTTTTCTGGGGTGACTTTTTTTCTGACTTTTCCTCCACCAGCAACAATGGATGAAGAAAGCATTGGAAAGCACAGGTGACCAAGTCTCTCTTTCCTACCAATATTCTAAGATAATAAATGTCTAGGAAATCCTTAAAAGCAGTAAGGTCATTTAAAGAACAACCTTCCATTAAATGCAGGCTGCTTTTGAGAAGGCTAGACACATCAAGAAAGCTGAAAAAGCCACAGGAAAAGCTGGCACTGAACAGGCATTTCACCAAGAGGCTGGAAAGACACAAGTGAAAGCAGTATCAGGGCAGGCGATGAGAGCCAGATACATCAGAAACCTCACTTCAGTGCCCTCAGACCAGAAATGCTAGCCTGCCTGTCCAAAGCTATTGTGGAAATAACTAAAAATATCTCCCTGGAGACTTCTTATCAATAGAGCTGTGTGCAGATTTGGAAGTGAAATGGCTAAGGGTGTGGCCACATCCCTCCCCCCAAATCTGCCCCAAGTGGTTTTGCAAGCCTCTGCAAGGACAGCAATACCTTTCCCGCCCCCCCCACCCCACCCCCCAATATACATCTAAGGAATATGAGCTCACAATCAGAACAGGAACACAACGCAAGTCACCTTCAGTGAGTTAAGGAAACATAAATTTGGCAATGTCCAATCACAGACCAAAAAACAAAAGGATATAGTGTGGTGTGTGTGTGTGTGTGTGTGTGTGTGTGTGTGTGTGTGTGTGTGTGTGTGTGTGTGTGTGTGTGTGTGTGTGTGTGTTCTGAAGAGGGCATGAGGGGAAAGTAGAAGAGTAACAGACTGAAAATAAACTGAAATTAGGCGACATAAGATTAAGCCTATACATAGCAGAAGACAATTAATTACTGAATTAGAAGACTGACAAGAAAACATGACCCAGAACACAAGGGTGGGAAGTATGTCAAGAGGCTAGAAGCAGAGGTTTCAGGTGTTGCACTGGTAAGGAGTGAAAGATGCTAGGGTATTCTTGTAAAGAGAAATTTAATATCCAAAGTAATGATGGCCTTTCCACGAGGACGGTTTCTTTGAGCCAAGAAATCTGAAACAGCCAAATGCTGGTGACTCATGCCTATAATCCTAGCTACTCAGGAGGCTGAGAGCTGAGGATTGTGGTTCAAAGCCAGCTCAGACAGGAAAGTCTGTGAGATTCTTATCTTCTATTAATCACCGAAAAGCTAGAAATGAAGCTGTAGCTCAAGTGGTAAAGTGTTAGTCTTGGGCAAAAAAGCTCCAAGACAGAGCCCAGACAGCACCTAGTTCCTGAGTTCAGACTCCAGGACTGGCACAAAAAATAAAAATAAGATAAAAAATGAAAAATAAAATGCATCAAAATTCAGACTTAAGGGGGAAAAAATGATGGTTAGGGGTAGGAGAAATGAGAACAAAAGGGAGGGTGCTATTAAAAATATGGTAGGGCAAATGGGGAAAGATAAGGGCAACAAAGGCATAAATATGTCATATATATGTATATATATATATATATATATATAACATGTATATAGCACACATATCAACCTAAAAGAAAATAAAGACTAAAAAGAAAAGGTAAAAAAGAGAAAAAGTCAACTAGAAAATACAAAATATGGCTGTAGACAACAAAGAATGCAAGTAATCACAATAAATCTATACAAACACAGGTTGTGAGACTGAATAAAAGAAAAGCAAGGTTACACAACTAAATATAGTTTGAAAAAGAATAAAACAGAATGACACAGTAATTGAATTAAATAAATAAAAGGTACTGGTGGGTAGCATATAGCTTAAAATAATGTCAGAAAAACTCTTTAAGCTCTACATTTAGAAGATACTTTCTTAATACAACTAGCCAGTCTTGCATGGATATAAGAAAAATGTACAAAATATGAAAAACAGCCAGATCATGTGGTCCTTTCTTATTGAACAAAAAAAGGCAATTATATCCACTATGTATGTGGTAGCAGAAAATTAGGAAAGGCAATTTTATTGGCCCAGACGATGGGCAACTATAACTGATGACTCATTTTGAGAAGACTTTCTGATTTAATTCCCTTCCCTCTCACTTCTGGGACATTCCCTTAGCTAAAATAATCTGGTTCCAAAAAATCAGAAATCCCTAGGATTTTTTTTTTAATGCAATTCAAACAAATCACCTGGTAGGGTTAAAAAGCCAGGCCATGCACTGGTGGCTCATGCCTATAATCCCAGCTGCTCACGAGGCTAAGATTTGAGGACAGCCGGTTTGAAGTCAGCAGGGGCAGGACCATCAATCAGACTCCAATTAACAACCAGAAGTGAAGCTGTGGTTCAAGTGGTAGAACACTAGCCTTGAGCAAAAGAAGCCCAGGGACAGTGCCCAAGCCCTGAATGAAAGCCCCAGGACCAGCTCAAAAAAAAAAAGGAGAGAGAGACAGAGAGAGAAACACAAAACGTAACAGAAGTGAGAAGGGCAAGCAAGTAAGTTGCTCTCGAGGTGCCTGAGATGGAGCCTGAGATTGAGGGAGGACAGTGAGGTTTCAAAGTGCATCAGCTATATTGTCATGTATAAACATTCTGAAAGACTGTTATCTACATTGTGCAAATCTGTATCAGTGGTCCTTGAGCACCTTCAATTTTCTTTTTCCTTTTGGCAGCATTGGAGTTTGAACTTAGGACTTGGAACTTGCTAGGCTGGTGCTCTTCTACTTGAACCATGACCCATAGTCATTTTAACCTTACTTCTCAGATACGGTCTCCGGTTTCTCTGAAGGCTGGCTTGGACCATGATCCTATTATCTATGCCTCTCGTGGGGCTGGCATTGCATCCTCAGGCTAATTGAGATGGAGTCTCACTAACTTTTTGCCTGCATTAGTCTCAAACCCAATTGTCCCAATCTGTGTCTCCATAGCTAGGATTACAGGTATGAACCATGGAGTTCAATCTGTTTGCTCTTGGTGTTTTGATGCCAGAGCCTTGAGCAATCCAGGTAAATGCTCCACTACTAAGCTACACCCCCGGTCCTGCTTACAACTTAAAAAAAAAAGAATGTTCTCATCGCACAGACTATATGTAGTTGATGTTTGGCAGTATGGGGATTGAACTCAAGGCCTTGGGTTTACTAGGCAAGCACTTCACCACTCGAGTCACACCCCTACCAGTTCAAGTATATATAATTTTTAAAATATCTATATTTAATGATAGTAAATTTTCAGATAGGGCTCTCACATCTCACTGCCTTTGTCCTGCTCTCTTCTAGAACAGTGTCTGGCATAGAGGAGGCACTCAAAGTTTTTCTCCTCAATAAACCAGGATATAGGATGAGTGCTGGTTGTTCCTATCTATAATCCTAGCTACTCAGGAGGCTGAGATCTGCATGGTTGAAAGCCAGCAGAAAAGTCCATGAGATTCTTGTCTCCAGTTAACCAAAAAATAGAAGTAGAGGTCAGGTTCAAGTGGTTTGAGTGAAAACGCCAAGCCAGAGAACAAAGCACTGAGTTCAAGTCTCAGTACCACTGGCATTAATGAGTCAACAATTTCAGAATATTTACATTCTACTCATCCAATGAGAATGGAGAAGGCACTGGTTTCTACTACCTTTAAGTTTTGGGAAAGGAAATTTCTACTAAATTCAGCTACTGTCTGGTGTGTTTTGGTGTAGGCTAAAGATCAGGCAAGGCCAGTGCTCTACCGCATACCCACAACCTCAGTTTCCCCAAAAACACACTTGGTCAGGCTGCAAACTCATACCTATCGCCCAGTGTTCTAGCTGTGTTAATGACCATTTCTTTGGACCTTTACTAAGTCTAAAATAGCATTTTCTAACAAGTGCAGGTATGATACTCTGGCTCTCACATTTGAATAATTTGCCTATCAGAGAGTTCTCTTAAAGGG